ACAGACAAATGGAGGGAGGGAGGTTTTGGTCTTTGCCTCCTAGTTCTGAACCAGAATGAGGGTGCATTATCCCACTTATCCCTGTCTTTTTTCCCGTAGTTGAGACTACCCTCCGAGTGGATGTTGCAGTGCTGAAAGCACGAGCGAAACTGCTACAGAAATACCTATGTGATGAGCAGAAGGAGCTGCAGGCACTCTATGCCCTCCAGGCCCTTGTAGTGACCCTAGAACAGCCCCCCAGTAAGAGCCAGGCTGGAGGGTTGGGGGTGGGGTGGAAGAACCGCCAGAAAGCGGGGACAGTCATGGAAAGGTGGGTGGTCATTGGAGAGCAAAATGCTCTGATGGTTGATTCCTTTCCTCTACAGTGTTTGTTTCCTTGTCTACAAATGGGAGGAGTTAGACTCAGCCTTGAAGGTGTGACCACCTGTTTTGTGCTTAGCCAGCTATTAGATGTCAGGAATGCAGAGCTGATAAATGTTTTTTCCCTTTGCCAGGCACAGGGCTGAGATGCTTTTCTTGCCTCATTTAATCTCACAACTATTTTTTAGAATAGATGGTGTTGTCCTCTTCCATTTTGGGAGACTGAGGGTCAGGTTAACATGCCTGAGGTTATGTATTCTGCAAATAGGTAGGTGCTGGGGCCCTGGGATGTTAGTAATAAATCAAGCACAGTTCCCATGCTGACCTGGAGTGAGGAGTGTTGGAAGATGGATCCTTAGTACACTTAGTCTAAGGGAAGCATGTCAAAATCTTGGCCAGCTGGACGAGATTTTGACATACTTGGTCTAAGGCAGTGGTTCTCAACCTTGGCTGCACATTAGAATCACCTGGGAACCTTTTAAAAATCATGATTTCTGGGTCTCATTCATCACCTGGGAATCTTTTTAAAGTCCAGATTTCTGGAATGAGGCCCAGAAATCAGGACTTTAAAAAGATTCCCAGGTGATTCTAATGTGCAGCCAAGGTTGAGAACCACTGGTCTAAGGGATAATGAGTGGGAATTGACAAATGGGAGCTAAATAACAAGTAGGACGGGGAGACTTGGAAAAAGGAACTGTGTAGAAGGCCATGAAGTAGGAAGAACTGGACAGAGGTAAAAGAACTTGAAGGAAGACCATTGTGGAAGAGCACAGAAACCAGTCATGTGAGGCAAAATGGGGTCGAGAGATGGACATAGGCTGGATCATGCAGGGCTATGTAAGCCAGGGGTTGAGTTTTGGGCTTTAGCCTAAGGACAAGAAGAGGCCTTTGTGGGACTTAAGCAAAATTAAAGAATTCTAATTCAGTCTTTAGATCTGGCTATTAGGGGAAGAGTATGGTTTGGAATAGGGGTGAGTGTGAATGCAGTAGGATCAGCTAATCCAGGATGTGTTGGTAGTGGCTCAGTCTGGCTGTGGAGATGGGAGAGGTGTGGGCAGATTCAAGACATACACTGACCTGGGAGAGGGCGATGAGAGTCATGCCTCCCAGGAAGGTTTTTAGTGTTCAGTAGGTGAGGTGATAGTGTGGTACCATCCATTGAGTGGTAGGAAACACTGGATCAAGTTGAGTTTGTGGTCTGTGGGTGGGGGTGATCAGAGATGCTGGTAGACAGCTGGATATCTGAATTCATTTGGAGAGGAAGAGATCAGGGATAGAGGTCTACCTGTGAGTTTTTAGCACAGGGCAACAACACATGCAAGTCACAAGTAGAAAAACAACAAAAAGATACGGGATTGCCTGAGGGAGAGTGATGAGGGCCTGAGATAGTACCTTCAGGTGAAGGATCAACAGATAGGGATCAAGCAGGACAGGACCCTATGAGTGAAGGACAGTAATTTTAGGAGAGGGAAGTGGTCAGTAATGCTAGATGCGGCTTAAGAACTCCATGAGGTGACCTGAAAATTAAGGGCTTCTGCAGCATAAAAGCATGGAGGCCATCCTGGCAGAATCATTATTTGGTGGAGTAGAGTGCAGGATCTTAACTGAAAAGGACTGAGTAGTATTTGACTAAGAAAAGAAAACAGCAAATGTAAACAAAAATCTTTGAATTCAATCTGTCAAAATACGAAAATATTTTGTTTGGTTATGACATAGTGGTTGTAAAGGTGTCCTTTTGTGTTGAGATCAGAGAAACTTAGGCTTGAAAATACAGGGCAGATTATGTGTATAGGGTCCCCAGGGTGGGTGTGCAAAGGATTGAGAGCACAGGTTTGGGACAAATGATGTACTACTGCCATTGCTCTGGGATGGGGAGGGGAGGCTGCCCACAGGCAAGCAGTTGTAGATTTGAGGGTGTGCATGCCCCTAAGCATCCTGGATTGCAGCTTCTTAGGCAGCTCAGTCAGTTTCACAAATGAACTGGGCTCTACATTCTATGGTTTATTGCTCTCTCTTTAAAAAAAAAATTGATTCTTTAGAGAGAGAGAGAGAGAGAGGAAAACATCAATTTGTTCTGCTTATTTATGGATTCATTGATTCTTTTATGTGCTCTGACTGGGGATCGAACCCTCAAGCTTGGTGTATCAGGCCGCCATTAACCAACTGAGCTACCTGGTCAGGGCTATATTAATTTCTTTTATATTTATGTATATATATATGTTTTTGTTGATTTCAGAGAGGAAGGGAGAGGGAGAGAGAGAGAGAACCATCGATGATGAGAGAGAATCATTGATTGGCTGCCTCCTGCATGCCCCCTACTGGGGATCAAGCCTGCAACCCGGGCATGTGCCCTTGACTGGAATTGAACCCGGAACCCTTCAGTCTGCAGACCAACACTATCCACTGAGCCAAACCGGCCAGGGCTTCATTTCTTTTTCCGGAAGAAATATATTCACTACTTTTAGGAATATAAAGTTTGCTTTGGAAATGCCGGTAGTGCAGTGTGGGGAAGGAAGTAGATTGTGTTCAGGGTTGTAGGACAAGTAAGTGCTTAGGAAGGCTAGGGGTGAGGGAGAAAGAGGGTCAGAGTGCAGGGGGTGCTTGAGTTGAGCCTAAAGGAATTCACTAGGAAGGTGACAAGAGAAAGGATGTTCCTGGCAAAAGATGTAGCACATAGAAAAATGTCAAGGCCAGAGAGGGTGTGTTATGTTCAGAAGGTGGAAAGGAATCAAGTTTGTCAGGATCCGTAATGGGGGCCAGTAGATGTTTAGGTTATACCCTTGAATTGTGAGTGATACATCTGGGATTGTGATTCCAAATTCAGGAGTACCAATTTTACATAGTTTCCCCCGTTAATTATATTATTAAAGTGAAGAAATTTGAAGTTGCTGAGGTGAGTGAAGCTAGGCAGGTTTGTAAAGTTTGGCTGAGTGACTCATTCCTGTGCACCAGTCTCTTTAGATCATGAGGTTAGCGTCCCATCAAAGACCTAGTCACCCTGAGATGGTCAAAGATAGATGTCTGGACAGTGGGTCAAGGGCCAAGTTTTAACAGTGGAGCTTGGGAGGGATTCCTGTGGGTGGGATGGGGTGGCTGTGGGCAGCACACCTCTTACACCTGTCCTACCTTGCAGACCTGCTTGGGATGTTCTTTGATGCGTTGTACGATGAGGATGTGCTGAAGGAAGACGCCTTCTACAGCTGGGAGAGTAGCAAGGACCCCGCTGAGCAGCAGGGCAAGGGCGTGGCCCTTAAATCTGTCACAGGCTTCTTCAAGTGGCTTCGTGAGGGGGAGGAGGATTCCGACCACAACTGAGGGCTGGTGGGGTCGGGGACTTGGAACCCCATGGACACTCGGATGGCCCAGCCAGCCGCCCGGACTGCAGGGGGGTCAGCAGCAGCGGCGGTGGCAGTGGGTGCCTGTAGTGCGATGTGTCTGAGCTAATAAAGTGGCTGAAGAGGCAGGATGGCGTGGGGCTGCCTGGGGCCCCCCTCCAGGATGCTGCCAGGTGTCCCTCTCCTCCCCCTGGGACACAGAGATATATTATATATAAAGTCTTGAAATTTGGTGTGTCTTGGGGGGGCACCACTGCTTGCCCCTGGGGTCCTTTTTTTATTTTCTGAAAATCACTCTTGGGACTGCCGTCCTCGCTGCTGGGGGCATATGCCCCAGCCCCTGCACCACCCCTGCTGCTGCCTGGGCAGGGGGAAGGGGGGGCACGGTGCCTGTAATTATTAAACATGAATTCAATTAAGCTCACTGCCTCTGCTTTATGGCCTTCTCCCTCGGAGAAGGGGTATGGATCGGCGGGCAGCCTCCTTTTCAGAGCTGGCACTACAGCAGCTTCCTAGAACTTGGCACCCCTCTTACCTCTTCCCCTGTCCATGATTGTGGAAGCTGGGAATCACTTTCTTGGAGGGTGGCCTTGAAGTGGACGTGGTTGGGTGCCCTGTTGGTTAGGAGGGGAGAGGGAGACAATAGCTGTGGGGTATTTAGTAGAATACACTTGGCTGGTTTCACTTTACTAGCAGAATGTGATCCAAACTCCTCTTGCGTGGAGGTGGGCCTGAGTTTCAGGCTGTTCATAGCCCGCGAGTCCTTTCTGGTTACAAGGGCTCGCTTATAAAACGAGGGGGTTGGATGCACTGAGGTCCTATGGCCCCATACAGTGCTACTGGCAGCCTGGCCCCGTCAATCCCGCCAAGACACGTCGACTCCCCTACCCTACCCCGCTCCACCCGCCTTGAGGGGTCACTCCGTGGCTGGGCCTGGGAGCAGAGGACAAGCTTCTCCGGACGCCGGCTCTGCGTGGCCCTGACGCCGCCACGGCCCCGCCCACCCGCTCACTTTAGGCGGTGACGTGAATGGTCACGCCCCCCGCGTTGACGTCACCGGACCGGTTCCCTCTCCCGGGAGCGGTGGCGGATGCGCGGTTCCCACCCCCCTCCCCTGACGGGTTTTCCCCTCCCTGGTGGCGGCCGCGGCCCGACCCTCTGCAAGCCGATGGCCCGGGTCCTGAGCGCGGGCTAGCGTGCCTGGGTTCCCGGCCATGGGCTGTATCGGCTCTCGGAGCCCGGCGGGTCAGGGTAAGAGGCCGGGCACTGGTTGGGGAGACCGGTCGCGGTGCGCGGGTGGGTCGGGGCCTTGAGGAAGGGGCCAGCGTCGGGAGAGGGAGGAGCCTGCGCCAGGGAGGCGGGCCAGGCTAGAGGAGGGAGTGGAGCAGGCCTGAGCGGGGAGAGGGCTGAATCAACTTGGGTTCGGTCCCAGGGCCTGCCTGCTTCTGGGCTCTGCAGGGGGGACTCGTGTCTTTCCGCCTGGATTCCCACCGCTGAGGGTGGCAGGAGGCGCATGGCCTGGGGAGGGGTTAGTCAATCCTCACCAGCCCATGGCGACTGTCCTTGCCCACTCACATACACTCATCACCATCACCATCACCACCCAGTTCCTACACCTCTCTTGCTGTCCTGGGAATGGCCCTATCCTGGGAACCTGCCTCTCCTGTCTGTGTCCCAACCTCCTTAAGCCTGCAAACGCTGGCCAAGTACCCTACCAGGGAATTTTTAATTAAACCTTACTCCCCACTTCAGAGTCAGATGGTTGATGAACGGGACTGAGACCCAACTTGGGGCACCTGTGTGCACCTGATCACCTCTCACCTCTTACAACTCTTTTAGTTCCCTTCCCCCACTCGCAACAATAACAATAACAACAAATCACCCTACCCTGAGGAGGGAAACAGGAGCCTAAAGGGAGGCCATCAGGTCTTCCTGCCCACAACTGCTGACCCTTGCCTTGGTTCCCCTGGATGGTGCATGCTGGGGCCTGGTCTTAGTCCTGTGCATCTGAGGTTGGCCACTCTACTTCAGTGTCATGGATTTCGCCAAGCCTAAGGCCAGCATTTCTGGGAACCACCAGCTGGATGAGGTAGGAACTTAAGATGTTGAGGGCTAGGTTTCTGATGGGTCCTGGGTTTCAGCGTAGGTGGGTCAGTCACATAGGCCTTCGTCTGGTTGGTACTTGAGGTCCTGTGGAACTAAGACTCAGATTTGTACTTTCCTTGGGTTCCCATGAGGAATTCTGGGATTTGTAGTACCACATTCGCCTCAGCGTTTGAAGCTGAGAAGCATAAGGCTGCTCTCATCTCTCTGGCCCTGTAACGGCTTGGAGCTCAGGAGGTCATTCCCTCCTGTAGTCAGGGGAGAGTTTGGCTGACCTCAGGATTAGGTACCAGCTGGGGCCAGGGATGGCCTGTAACCTTGTGTCTGTCTTCTGGTTGGTAGCATTTCTGGGAACCACCAGCTGGATGAGGTCCAGGGACAGAGACGGCTGCTCCAGCTAAAGGTCAGTTGTGATATACATTGATTGCCTGTTGGCACTGCCTAGGGGAAGGGCCTCAGCTAGCTGAGCTCCACAGAGCTTGGCTGGGCCCCTGGCACTCCCACCTCCTCAAAGCCATGAGACAGGAACACTTTCCTTATGTGACTAGGAACAGGTTCCAAGTGGGGAGGAGAATGGCTCAACATCCGGAACCAAAATAGGAATAGAACTGGGAGCTGAGCCTGGAGCAGTTCTGGGCTTTTGGTTCTCTGCATCAATACAGCCAGCATGCCTATGATTTCTGTGCTGGGCAAAATGTTTCTTTGGCAGCGTGAAGGGCCTGGAGGACGATGGACTTGTCAGACAAGTCGCAGAGGTGAGACCAGGGACTGTAGATGTGATCTGGGAGGTGATGGGAACCTGAGGAGTAGGGTGCTCAGGTGGCAAGAGGAAAATTACTTTGGCTTAGATATTGGGGACCAGGCTGAAACAGGAACAGCCAGGCTGGGGCCAGACAGGCCATCAGGAAACAGCCGTAGGGGACTGGGACGAAAGAAAAAATCATGGGCTTGTCAGAGAAGAAGAGTAAAGCTGAGCCTGGCGAGAGGAAAGAACCAAGAGCAGGAAGGCAGCAAGCCTGCAAAGGGCCAAGATGGTGGTGGGGAGGGGGCCGGGGATGGCGGTGGAAGGATGAATGAGGTGTGCTTTCCAAGAGGAATGGGTAGGCTGAGAAACCCAGAGAGGATTCAGAATTTATCAAAGTTTAGGTTTCATCCCGAGGGTTTTAATGGCAAAATATACCCAGTGGAGGAAGGTGGTCAGTGGCTGCCACAAAATGGCCTCAGGAGCAGAAAGGCTAGGGGTGGTGGGAGAGGGGCTTTCAGAGTTGCGGGAGCACCAGGTGGTTGGCTGCTGGTGTTCTGGGGGGGGGGGGGGGGGAAATGATGTGGCAACACCGGATGAAAAGGGGGGATCTTGGCAGAAGTGGGAGCCCAGCTGAACAGCGTTTCCCCCACCCCTCAGTGGCCTCGGACCCCGCGTGGGCTGTGGAGTGGATCGAACTTCCTCGGGGCCTCTCTCTCTCTTCCTTGGGATCTGCTCGTACCCTCCGAGGCTGGAGCCGGTCCTCGCGCCCTTCCTCTTCCTCCGTGGACAGTCAGGACTTGCCAGAGGTGCTGGGCCCCTGGTGTTGGTAGGGGGTGGGGGAGCCGTATCCACACGAAGGGGGTCTGTATCCCTCGCAGCCGCCTCGCCAGCCCGTTCCTGGCGTTCCTGGCTTCCTCTGCCTGCGAGCGGAGGCGCTATCCGGCCGGCAGTAAGGCCGCCCCCACCGGTCTGCTCCGCTCGGCGCCCTGCCAGCGTCGGCGGGCGGGCTGCTCGCGCCTTCGGCGCTGACGTCAGCGCATCCCGGGCCATATCCCGGGAGACCCTGTTGCATGGTGATGGGTTGCCAGGGAGACGTACACCTTTTCTCTGGGCCTGGGCCGCAGCTGCGCGGAGTGCTGGCACGGATGGTGGCGGCTGGGGGGAGTGAGGGGAGGGAGGGAGAGCGAGCCAGGAAACACCCAGCAGGTGCTCCTCCCTCCAGGCCTGGCCAGAGGCTACCGGCGCCACCCTGGGGGCCTTGTCAGCCAGGTACTGAAGGGGAGGGACAGAGGGGGTGGGCCTGAGGTCAAGGGGCAGGTGGAGCCCCTCTTGTGAGGGGTGGGAACTGATGGAGTAGAGCTAGGCAATGCCAGGGAGGGTGCCTGTACCTCTGGCTTCATTCATTTGCTGAGGGAAACATTTGCCTGGGCTTGCCAAGGAGCACAGAGCCAGGTGCAGGGTGGAGGTAGGAACCCAGGTGAATCAGACTCAGGCCCTGCCATCCTGAGATCCCTCAGGAGAGACGCAAGGGTGATGCTGGGGATGGGAAAACGACTGAGAACACAGTAAGAGGGGGCACTTGAGTCAGGCCTTGAACGGTAGGGAGCATTTGTCAGGCAAAGATGGCATTCTTTGCCCAGGGAAAAGCTGGGTTTCTTTGCCTGGAGGAAGGCAGGAGGCTGCCTGCTGACAGGGAAAGTGAGAAGTGGGGTTTTATGGACAGAGGAGATCAGTGGTGGATTCCAAGCAGGTCTGGTAGAGGCAGGGCCTCACAGAGTCCTTCAGTGCCTGGCTGTGAGCTTGCACTTCATTGGACAGTGAAGGGGCCCAGGAAAGATTTTAAATAAGGACCTGTGGTGACCAGTGGCACCCCAGGAAAATGGGGTACATTTATACATTGCCTTGTTCATTCGGCCTATGTATTTTGAGAGGTTGCTCTGTACCAGGCATTGTGCTAAACACTGGCGTGCGGCAGTGACCAAAAGAGACCGAATTTCTGAAAGAGCTTAAGACCAGTGAGGGTGACCAACAAGAAATAAGGAAACACATAAAATAGACCATAATTACACACCCGAGATACATTGATAGAGGATGGTGACTTGTTACAGACTGCAGAGGGAGGGTAGACAACTGGTAGGGTGGCCAGGAAGCCTTCTCTGAGGGAGTGATATTTCAGCCAAGACCCAAAAGGTGAGAAAGAGCCAGCCAGACATGGAAAGGGGGAAGGAGAACACTTACACAACAGAGGAGGCTGAGAAAATAGCATGGAGTCGGAGGAGCTTGGGGGACTACCACTATGCTAATCTGGGCAAGGAGCATTTGCAAAGGATGAGGGTAGTATTAGAGGCAGTTTGGAGATGGAATCATTAGGTCTTAACAACAGATGTGCGTAGGGAAAGCTTATGTGGGAGTTGGTGGTAATGCTGAGGTTTGGAGCCAGGCTGAATGGGAGAATGGTGGGATGATGCAAAGTGAGGGCCAGATATGGGGAGAAGGTGTTGGGTTTGTTTTTGGTCATCCTGAGTTTGTGGCTGTGATAGGCTCCAGAACCAGTTAGAATGTGGGTCTGGAGACAGAGGAGAAGAGGGGTAAAAGGAAGGGGACCTGGATGTTATATCCTTCTCCTTTCCTCTTTTCTCAAAGACCCTACTCCATGTTCTTCCAGAACTGTCTTATTCTCCTCTGGGAGCTTGGAAGGCAGAGGCTTAGCTGTAGTTCTGCTCCTTTGGGTTTGCCCACATCTCCATTGCTCCCTGGGGGTGGGGGGTGGGGGTGGGGGTGGGGGCATAATTTGCTGGTCCTGGCTTCTTACCTTTTTACATATCCCAGCAGCCTTTGGGAAACATGTGTTGCCCTGTCATCTCTTCCCAGCTCCCATATCCCCTTGATGCCTTGGGTGGGGTATGGGCATGTGGGAGGACAATGCTGTCAGAGGAGCACTCACCCTCTAATTCTGTCACCCTAGGTGAATGTTGGAGACACTGTCGCGATGCTGCCCAAGTCCCGGAGAGCCCTAACTATCCAGGAGATCGCTGCACTGGCCAGATCCTCCCTGCATGGTATGCACCCCTTCCCATGCCTCTGGCCATTTGGACCTTTTTTACATGCCCTTGGGGATTGTATCCTTTGAGCTCCTGCTGCTATCTCCCTTTTCCTCTCTTTCTCAGGTGAATCCCTGCCCCTTGCCCCGCCAAAGGCACATGTGGACCCTCACTACCACCACCTTTACACTTTCCTCCCAGATGTTCTCTGACCCATGCTCTTACCAGGCTTTCTGACTTTGCCTCACCTCTAGGTATTTCCCAGGTGGTGAAGGACCACGTGACCAAGCCCACTGCCATGGCCCAGGGTCGTGTGGCTCACCTTATTGAATGGAAGGGCTGGAGCAAGCCAAGCGACTCTCCTGCTGCCCTGGAATCAGCCTTTTCCTCCTATTCGGATCTCAGTGAGGGTGAGCAAGAGGCTCGCTTTGCGGCAGGTGAGTGACAGAAAGAGAATCAGCCACACATTTGTCCTAGGGATATTCTCTCTCATCTCCTTGGGCCTGATGTGGGGTTTGGAGTCTTTCCACACCCATGTGTCTTCCCTCTCCTGTCTCCAAGCTGAGCCCTAACCTTAGTTCACTTCTGCTAATGAATTCCGTGTCTTCCCCAACAGGAGTGGCTGAGCAGTTTGCCATTGCAGAAGCCAAGCTCCGGGCATGGTCTTCAGTGGATGGTGAGGACTCGACCGATGAATCCTACGATGAGGACTTTGCTGGGGGAACTGACTCAGGTGAGGGGACATTCCGTACTAGTACTGCCAACTGGGGTGAAACTGCCTGATAGGCCTTGTGATCCAGAGCTCAGCCTTTGGAAGGGAGATCCGGAATGTCCTCAGCCTTTGGAAGGGGAGCGGAGAGAGGCAGGCTCTGTCCAGGTAATCCTCAACTTTCCACTCTCGTGGGTGGGCAGTCAGCAGGTGGAAATGGAGTAGTTCCTTTCTCTGCCCATCTATGCAGTTGGGCCTTGAGGCCCCCAAAAAAAAAAAAAAAAAAAAGCCGGAGACTTCGCCAGCACCTTCTGTGCAGCCATGTTGTCTCTCTGGGAGGGTCTGCCGTGCCTTGCCCCTGAAAGTCCTCTCAAGACAGCCTCCTGGCTGGTCGAGGCAGCATAGACGCACAGTGCAGCAGCCACAGCACCTCATGGGGCTGTGGCGCAGGCAAACAGGAAGCTTGCTGAGCCGGGACTGCCCACAGGGCTGCTTGGCTCCAGCCTAGCATCCTCGCATTCCAGGCCAGTGGGCCTTACTCTCCGCTAGTGCTTGCAGAAGGGACCCCGTGGGGCTGTGCAGCTGTGCAAGGCCCTCCTTTCATCTTCCATTCTTGGGACCAAATGGCTGACTTTCTCTGTAGCTTCTGGGCTCAAGCCTCCCAGACCACCATCCCCCTTCCACCCCTTTGTCTTTGAAGATTGCATCCACATGCCTCATCCCTTTAGCTAATTAACATTCTCTGAAGTGGGCAGTACATTAAAGCAGCTGAGACTGCTGCTGTGGTCCAGAGAGGACTGATTGGGATGACCGAGACGAAGACAGACCCGAACCACAATGTTTTTGTTTGATTGAGTTCCAGGCCTGCTTTGACCCCTGGTATAATGAAAATAACTGCATTTATCCAAGGCCACTACTAGCCCATGCGGAATCATTGTGCAAATTTGAAAAAAGTTCTCCTTTTCCTGGTGGGCACAGCCCCATGCCAGGGCATGCTGCTTGGTGAGCAGAGTGTGGTCTGAATTTCACTTACTGCCTTGGACACACTCCCCGTGGGCAGTGAACAGCCTGCACGACATGTAGGGTATTCCTGCATTTATTGCTTTCTTACTGTGTGCTAGGCTGTTCTCTCAGCAACCCCATAAGGTAGGTATGTAAGAATCCCCAGTTCACCATTAAGGAAATTGAGGCAGAGAGGTTAAGTGACTTGTCTGAAGTTCCCTGGGTCCTACCCCCCATCCCTAGAGCTGTACCAAGTGGGGAGATGTGGCTTCCAGGTTGGCCAATTGAGATGGGGCTAGCAGGGTTATCTTTTCCTTTTCTCTCCCCCGACAGACATGGCTGGGCAGCTGCCCCTGGGACCCCACCTCCAGGACCTCTTCACTGGCCACCGATTTTCCCGGCCTGTGCGCCAGGGCTCTGTGGAGCCTGAGAGCGACTGCTCGCAGACAGTGTCCCCAGACACCCTGTGCTCTAGTCTGTGCAGCCTGGAGGACGGGTTGCTGGGCTCCCCGGCCCACCTAGCCTCCCAGCTGCTGGGTGAAGAGCTGCTTCTTGCCAAACTGCCCCCCAGCCGGGAAAGTGCCTTCCGCAGCCTGGGCCCCTTGGAGGCCCAGGACTCGCCCTACAACTCGCCCCTCACAGAGTCCTGCCTTTCCCCCGCCGAGGTGGAGCCAGCCCCCTGCGAGGACTGCCAGCCGCTCTGCCCACCAGTGGGCAGCTGGGAACGCCAGCGGCAAGCCTCTGACGTGGCTTCTTCTGGGGTGGTGTCCTTAGAGGAGGATGAGGTGGAGCCAGAGGAACAGTGACGCAGATCATGCCTGGCGGTGGCACAGCCGCTGTGCCCAGTTGTGGGCTTGAGGCTTCCAGCAGAGCTCCAAAGCCTGGGGGGCTCCTGGGAGCACTCACTCCTCATTGTGTGTTTTGCATGAAAGTGTCTAGAGAGGAGGCAGGGACCAGGCTGGGGGCGCATGTCCAGCCCCCACTCCTGGGGCTTGCCGGGGATTGCCCGGGGCCCCTGGGGCATGGCTACAGCAGTGGCAGAGTGATGTTCATGTTCTTAAATCAAAAACGCCACATATTTCCTCCTCTGATGATGTGAACCTCTGAGGGGGCAGTTATGACTGGGCTACGTGGGACAGAATGGAGGGAGCCCGGCCTCCCCTGCCCCTCCCCGCCTCTCTCCTCTGCTTCTCTCCTCACCTCCAAGTCCATGTACCGTGCTTGATAGAATCACCCCACCCAGGGAGCCTACGGATTGAGCCGTCCCCCAGGTCCCTTTCCCAGCTGGGCTCATCCTGTGCTACACCTCTCCATTGTCTCTAAATCTTTTTTGTAAAGAAAGAGGGGTTTTGGTCTGTTCTTTCAGTCAGATCTTCTCTGGGAGGCATTGGAATGATGAAAGCGTGCACCCCCACCCTTTTCCTGGCCACTTTGAGGGGTCTGGGCCCTTTCCCAGTCCCATGTAGGATGTGTGGGCAGAGCCCCGGTGGCTCCCAGCCCACCAGGTTGCTGTAGGGTGGAGTTGGAAGAGGACAGGGCTCTGGTAGCTACAGAGCTGGGACTTCGATGTTCTTCCAGAGAGGGCCACCAGGGGGCCACACGGGTGGCCCTGTGCAGGGCAGAAATTGTGCCAACCGGTGACAGTCATGAGGGAGTGCCTCTCCTTGGGGAGGAAGGAGGGCAGTGCCTTTTTGGCTGAAGGAAAGGCCGAAGCTACAGTACTGGGGGCAGCCAGGGTGTTGATGGCCAAGCAGTGGAGGCCTCTGCAGATCCTACACTCCATGGACAGCAGGCTCTGGAGTTTTATAGCCATGGGGTGTAGGTGGCTAGATTTCAGGACTTGTAGGCTTTGGCAGGTAAGAGGGCCCAAGGTAAGAACACGAGCTGATGGGCACAGGCATTCTCTATATAAGTGGCTCATTAGGTGTTTATTTTGTTCTATTTAAGAATTTGTTTTATTAAATTAATATAAAAATCTTTGTAAATCTCTATATACATCTGGTCATTGGAGGTTCCAGTATAAACCCATCTTAGTTCTACCCCTTTCCCCCTCAAAGGGGCAGCAGGGGTCAGGTACCCCGCCCCATCCCCATCCCGCCAGGGCAGTGCTGATCTTCCTGCCCTTGGAACACTGCAGGTGGGTGCTGTGTCAGATTCCAAGTAGAAGCTGGTGCCCCTGGTCTGGATGGGGGGCTGGGGCCCCAACCTTTGGCTGTAGCTGCCTCCTGCTTTCCCACGGCAGAAGGGACAGGAGAGCTGCAGGATCCGGGCTGACAGCAAGGCCACTGCCACCCCAGGCTGCCTGCTGAGGAATTCACTGGCACTTGTCATCGCTGTCAGAAGGGCTGCCCTCCCCGGGGAGGCTGTGGCGGGAGCGGGGCCCCCAGAGTGCATGCACCTCTGTCGTCTCTGTGTCGCTGCTGCTGGTGGCACTATCACGGAAGCTGGCGAGGGGTGGCCGGACTTTCACGCCCTGTGCTGTGACAGAGCCCTCAATAGCTTTCCGGAGCTGGAAAGGTGAGAGGGTCAGTCTGGGCTCCCTGCTCGTACTCTCCAGCCCTTACCCTCAGGTGAGCTGGGCATAAGCTTCCATGCCTTTTTGGAAGTGGAAGTGGCTTTGACAGCCACTATCATCTTACCTCCTTTAGGGTAACGATCCCAATGAGTCTGCCAATACTGGTGACGTAAGCATGGTCCACTCCCAGGAGTGAGAAGATGGTGTGAGTCTACAGGGTGGGCAGAAGAACATTGGACTTTATGCACAAGGGGAGAGGGGCCCAGGAGGAGGTGTTGGGTTGGGGACAGGATAGAGGGGGTGCTACAGAAAGTGGGGGAGGGGGAAGGCCAAAGTGTAATGAGATTGTACAACCAATCTTCAGAAACTTGATCGTGAGAATCTTTATGTGGATGAGAAACAGGACGGAATCTTCATCCCATGTTAGCAAGGAGAATGGTGGAGAGAACAACTGTTCAAATATGACACCTAATGATTGGCCAGGCACCTGGCTAAGTCTTACATTAATCAGTGTTTACTTTCATCACAGTCCTGAGAAGTCTGACACCCATTCTGTAGGACAGGCAGCATGAGGCTCAGTGGTGCAGTGACTTGCTGGGTGGGGGTCATCTGTAAGAAGTGGCCCAGCAGCTCCAGGCCACTTTTCAGTACACTCAGTGGTTCTCAACCTTCCTCATGTTGTGACCCAACCATAAAATTATTTTCGTTGCTACTTCAAAACTGTAATTTTGCTATTGTTATAAATCGTAATGTAAATATCTGATATGCAGGATGGTCTTAGGCGACCCCTGTGAAAGGGTCATTTGACCGCCAAAGGGGTCGCGACCCACAGGTTGAGAATCGCTGCTCTAGGAGGAGGCACTGCCTAGTGGGCTTAGGCGGATGTCCGATTAGTCATGGATATATCCAGGAGGAAAGTTCCACACCCCCTTAGGGGTACTGGCCCTGAATCCTGTTCCTCTTACCCCACCTGGGTGGCTGACACGTGGTTCCCCTTTGCCCTCCGCTGGCTGAACATGTAAGTTATCCCTCACCCTGGCTCCGACCCCCCCAATATTGGCCTGCCGCACTCTTTATGTCTCTCAGTTTGCCTTTTCTGGGGCCCAAAGCATCCCAGGTCTTGTTGACATGTAGCTTACCGTCCAAGGGCCAAGAGTACCCCCCAACCCCCATGTTTTTTTGCTTTGGACCCTTCCCCCAAGGTTTCCAGTGTAATCAGCCAGGGTTCAGAAACTGTCAGCTAGCTCCCCTTGTGCTCCAAGTGGATTTTCTTGGGCCAGATGTCTTGAAAAAACACTCTACTGACTCAGCAGTTCCTGGAATTTTTGGCCTATCAGTTATCACACTGTTTATAGTTTACTTGTAAGCCTCTTGGCTTAATGCTCGAATTGAAATGGGCATTACTACCCCAGCTTCTTGAGTACCAGCTACTCAGAAATCATTGTAATGATCTTAACACTTTAAAAATGTTTTCTTATACAGCTGCTGAATTCTTTAGGAAAGAACTTCCTGAACTTTCCTAACTTCCTCCTTCTAAGGCATGACAGTACTTATAAAAGGAGGTGGAAGTGTAGTTTTAGCATAAGTTTTTCTGTGCTCCTTTAATACCTATGTCATAACTGTCATTGTTTAGCAAGTCCCTTGAATCCTACATGCTACACGTTATCTTTAATTTCCTCATCTGATTTCATTGGGAAACATATCATAATAAGATTTCCTGTATTGTCCTGCTGGTGTGGCTCAGTGGTTGAGCATCAGCCTATGAACCAGGAGGTCATGGTTCGATTCCCGGTCAGGGCACATGTCTGGGTTGCAGGCTCGATCCTCAGTGTGGCGTGTGTAGGAGGCAGCCAATCAATGGGTTCTCTCTCATCACTGATATTTCTATCGCTCTCTCTCTCCCTTCCTCTCTGAAATAATATATATCCTATCTAATAAAAGACAAAAAGGGTAATTAACCGTACCTCCGCTACGCTTCCCATTGGCTAATCAGCGAGATATGCAAATTAACTGCCAACAAAGATGGCGGCCAGCAGCCACGCAGCTGAAGCGAGCAGGAAGCTTGCTTGCTCCAGTGATGGAGGAAGCCAAGGTTCCTCGCCTGCTGCGGCCTGCTCTAAGCTCCAAAAGCAACAGCTCCAAAAGCAACAAAGTTTCAATTATAGAAGCTAAACAAACCCCAGATACCTGCTTTCAGCCAGCCTCGGCCTCAGAGCTGGAGCGAGCAGGCCAGCAACAAAGTTTCAATTATAGAAGCCAAACAAACCCCAGATACCTGCTTTCAGCCAGCCACAGCTTCAGAGCTGGGAGCGCCAGTGATGGCAACAAAGTTTTAATTATAGAAAGTAAGTAAATCCCAGAATTAAAAAAAAAAGGAAAAAAGGAGAGGCTGGGAGCTTCAGTCACTCGCCAGCCTGAAAACGGCCCTCAGCCCCTCACCCAGACTGGCCAGGCACCCCAGTGGGGATCCCCACCCTCACAGGGGTGTGGCCAGCCTGAAAACAGCCATCAGCTCCTCATCCAGGCTGGCCAGGCACCCCAGTGGGGACCCCCATCTTGAAGGGGGTGTGACCAGCTGCAAACAGCCATCAGCCCCTCACCCAGGCTGGCCAGGCACCAAAGCAGGACCCCCCACCCTGATCCGGGACACCCTTCAGGGCAAACCAGCCGGCACCCACCTGTGCACCAGGCCTCTATCCTATATAGTAAAAGGGTAATATGCAAACTGACCCTAACAGCAGAAAGACTAGGAATGACTGGTCACTATGACACACACTGACCACCAGGGGACAGACGCTCAATGTAGGAGCTGCCCTCTGGTGGTCAGTGCGCTCCCACATGGGGGAGCTCTGCTCAGCCACAAACCAGGCTGATGGCTGCCAGTACAGCGGTGGTGGTGGGAGCCTCTCCTGCCTCCTCAGCAGCGCTAAGGATGTCCGACTGCAGCTTAGGTCTGCTCCCCGCTGGCAAGTGGACATCCCCCCAGGGCTGCCGGGCTGCCAGAGGGATGTCTGATTGTCAGATTAGGCCCAATCCCCTGGGGAGCAGGCCTAAGCCAGCAGGTGGTCATCCCCCAAGGGGTCCCAGACTGCGAGAGGGCACAAGCCGGGCTGAGGGGACCCCCCCCCCCCCGAGTGCACAAATTTTTGTGCACCGGGCCTCTAATTTATATATATAAATAATTTATATATATATAAATTAATTAATTAAAAAAAAGATTTCCTGTATTATTAATCCCTCGGCTTTGTCTTCTTATGTTTAATAATCCATCTCATCCTCTCTCAAGGATCCTATTAAATCATTCCCCTAAAGTTTCCACAATCCTAATCAGAGTGAGCTTCTGATAAACTATATGCCTTTTGGGTTTGCAAACCACTTGTCCTGGGGAGTCACCAAGCCTTACTAATCTACCTCCTGAACATCCTGGCAATTCTTCCTGATTCCCTCACCATCCTGATCAGGATGGGACTGTAACATCTTTTTTTTTTGGTTAATCCTCACCTGAGGATATTTTTCCATTGCTTTTAGATAGGGTGGGAGGGAGGGAAGGATATATATATATATATATATATATATATAGAGAGAGAGAGAGAGAGAGAGAGAGAGAGAGAGAGAGAAGAGACATAGAGGTGAGAGAGGCACACTCGCCCTGACTGGGGCTGGGGATCAAACCTGCAATCCAGGTATGTGCACTTCATTGGAAATGAATCTGAGACTCTGGTACGCAGGCTGATGCTCTAACCACTTTGCACACCGGCCAGGGTGGGACTATCACATCTTAATGGGTTCTCCTTTCTGTCTCCCTTCTATCCAACTTGGCTCTGACATCCTATCAGCTTTCTCAATCTCGAGTTAGAGCCCAGACACCCCAGAATGGCCCACAGGACCCTTTTCAAGCACACCTCAGTCTGTCTCTCTATTCTCAGATTCCACCAGACACTCCAGCTTCCAGCCTCACCTAATCACTCACCCTATTCTGAAATATCAATTTCTTGCATACTTCCTTTATTATACCATCTCTTAAAGCCCCCTATTTTTCACCTCTAAGCATAACTAGTAGTAATTTCTAAAATATATTGAATACTATGTGCCAGGTACTTTTCTAAGTGGCTCACATGTATGACCTCCCTTAATCCTCAGAAAACCCTATGATGTAGGGACTAAGATCCCCATTTTACAGATAAGGAAAGTGAAGTACAGAGACGCTAAGAAATCTGACAAGGTTACACAGCTAGCCAACACTGGGCGGAGTGAGGATTAGGTTCAGCCAGTCTGACCCAGTGTTGGCACTCTACTTCCTCCCCCACCTCCACTCACTGCTTCTCGGTAGGTGGCCTCTGAATGAATGCGGTACTTAGCTGATAGGGTGATCTCCAGTTGCACAGCTTCCTAAATAGTCTCCAGTTGTAGTCCCTTGCCCCTCTGGATGTTCCCCTCCTGAACTTAATTGAGCTACTACTTATTGACTCCTCGGGCCTGCAAGGACATTTTGAATTCTAATCTTATGTTCTTATCACTTCCAGTTCTTTGTACTTTTGGTAGTCGGTTCCTCAAAGGTTTCTCTTCCTCTGATTTTTTTTTTTAAAGTTTGTAACAAACACCTACTTTGTTCTTTTTCATTTTAATTTAATTAGACACCAGGGAGCTCATTGGAGAGCCTGCATTTCTTGGGCTTGGGAACAGTGAATTGAAAGGGAGAGGGACAGCGTGGCCCTCTGAAAGAATACTGGGACTGGGGCCAGGAAATCTGGGCTCTAGGCCTGACTCTGCTATACTGACTCAGGCAAGTGACCTCACTGCCTCAGTTTCCCCATGTATTAAAATGGTTAAATCCACAGGCTTTTGGGTCAATCTTGGATTTTGCTACTTACTGGCTATGCGATCTCTTGGCCAAATTGCTTAACTACTTTGAATTTCAATGTCCCCTTCTATAAAAACTGAAATATCACACTATCTGTGGTTGTGAGAATTACATCAAACATGTGAACAGCTTAGCCCAGTGCCTGAGACATAGCAGGCACTAATAAAATGTCAGCATCATCCTCATCTTTATGTGATGTTTGAGAACTAAGATGATGGAAAAGCTTTAGTAGCGGTCTTAGGAGGAAAGGCTTTAAATCAGGGTGGGGAATGTCCAGCCCACGGGCTATATAAGGTCCGCAAAATCATTTGGTCTGGCCCTGCCAAGGCAGTAGGGGTGAGTTAATAAAATGTTTGACCAAATATAGCAGGCTAATTTTTAAGCTGATAATTTTGTATGGCCCGTGAATGATGTTACAAATATCCAAATGGGCCTTGGCAGAGAAAAGGTTCCCCACCCCTGCTTTAAATAAAAGCCAAATGTATTATTCTCAGGCCTACCTCCTAGGCCTACCTCCTTTTATTCTTGCAATTGCACTGCAGTTCCTCACTCACTTTGATCAGAGGTCTTTACCCAAAGGCTTATAAGTTCCTTTAATACTTTTTTGCTTTTTTGTTTCTCTTTTGTTCCCTGCCAGGGCCCCTGCTTGTCTACACTAAACTGGCTTTGAGGCACAGCTTGCATCTAAGTTAGCTGTCCAAACTGCAGACCTTGGGAGCTCCCCCACTGGCCCCGGCCCCCACACCTCAGAGGTTTGCACATTAAATCTAACAATTTAGCTGAAACACCCACTTGGTTTCTGCCCTAGCAGCCTGCGGGGTGTGCCTGCACGCCCTGCCTTCACTGAGAGGCCTGAAGGTGCCCAACGATGCCACTGCCCCATTCTGGGGAGCCCAAGGCTGTCGTCCTCCACAGAGAGCCCTGTTCTCTAATGTCAGCCTCACCCACTACCCACCTGTCTGCACGCAAGTTTCCTCCCCGTTTCTGCAGGCTGGTTTTGCCTTCTGCTGAGCTCTCTCTCTGCGTCCTTACCCGGTTCCCTCCTGCCTACGTGAAGTGAGACTTTCTGGGGTCTGACATTCCAAGCCCCCCACTGGGCGTTTCTCATCTTTGTTTATCTCTTCTCTGCAGTGTCCCCACCCCTACTTGGATGTTTGTTAGCTTGTTTATTAGACTTTCTTTTCCTGCCTGTTTCTCACCCATTTTTTTCAGTGTGGGTGTATCAGCCTTGTTGGGAGCTGGCAGCCTTCCTCCTAGCTCTGACCCTGGCCTGGCCTCCTGGCTTCTACCCAGCTTGAGCCCAGTCTTTGTTGCTGCTTTGGTCCAGAGTTCCCTGGGGGCAAGGCTGAGAAGAGGAAAAATGATGCTTGATTCCACCGCAGGCAGGAAGAGGCTGAGGGGACCTCGCGCCTGGCCTCCCACCGTTTGAAGCAATGTGTTTGAAAAACAGCTCAGCGCAGAGCCCACTCTCTGCTGTCCCTTTTTTTGCCCACTGGCTTGAGCCCAAACTTGTGGGAGGACCTAGACCCCCACCCAGGCCAGGCCCAGGTTGCTGGCCCTACCTTGTGCAAAGAGGTCCGCTCCACCAGCTGGAAGGGGGCAGGGTCAATTTTGCAGTCGCTGAAGTTGACAGGTTCATCTAGTTGCTGCTCCTCCCACTCCAGAATCTGAGGGTATGAGACTAGGAGGGTTAGGGAGAAGGGGCCATCAGAGGCCCTCACCTCCCTGAAAGCTGGCCTGCCCCTTTTCCTACCCCATGGTCCCTCCCATGGGGACAGAAGCCAAGATGATGACTGAACACATCCCGGAAGAAACAGAGTCCAGAGTCCAGTCACACCTTACCTCCTCAGGGGTCATTTCACTTTCCAGGTCTGAGTCGCTCTAGGAGAGAGGGAGGGAGGCTGGCAGCTGGGGCTGGGAGAGGGGGCATGTCCCCCCACTGGGGGAGGTTTATCTAGACCCTGGCCTGCCCTGTCTAGTGCTCCTGAGCTGCAGAAAGAAGTGAGCACTTACTGCCAGGGAAATTCGGACCCGCTTCAGCTTGCGCTTGTCACATGGTTCCGACTTCTCCAACTGTGTTAGAGCCGAGGGGGGGAGAAGAGGAATTGATGTTATAGGGAGGAGGGAGGTGAGAAGCGTGGTGGGGGGTGGGGGGGATGGTGCACTGCAAGGACAGAGCTGGCGTCCAGGAGGGCAGAAGGGCAGGAGAATGGAAGCAGGTGCCACAGGGCTACTGGAGGGGTTATCTCGGCATTAGAGGTTGAGCAGACGGAGAGGCTCCAGCCACTCACCTCTGAAGCAGCCTCGGGGGGCGGACTGCCACAGAAGAGGCTCCTGAGGGCGATGCCAGCCTGCTCCACGTTCCCTGTGTTCCCAAACACAAGGCCCTGGGGCAATGTCATCTTTGGGGGAGAGGGGAGGAGGGCACGGGGAGAGGCATCCTGGTTCTACCCCTGGTCCACTCAGGCAGCCTCTTCGCTGGGATGTGCCCCAGCTCAAAGGTGCGCAGGGGCCCTTATGTAGTCTCAGAGGCCGGGCTCGGCTCTGTGGGAGCCTGGAGGGGTGCTAGCGGGTGCTGGGCTCACCTGGGGGACTCTCTCTGAGGCTCATGGAGTTGCTGGACGCCCTCTTGAGAGCAGGCTTCAGGGGCTTGTGAGTGTCTCCCCGGGCCGCAGGGAAGCCTGAGCCCTCTGTGCTCACCTGCACGGGCAAAGGGGCTGGTGAGGCTGTGGCCCCAGGACTCCTCTGACTCCTCTGGGTCACCCTCCTGACAGTCTACGCACAGTTAGGAGGAGGTGTGTGCGACTGCAGGACTTTCCCTACCTGGAAGCGGACTGAGCTCTCAGGGCTGGGGGGGCTCTCCTGATCGGGTGGCGGAGGAGTCTGGGCAGCTCTCCGCTCCTGCAGGTGCTGCCGCCGGCGGGCTGGGCTTAGCTGGGCCGCCAGCAGTGCCACCACCTGTGAGCGCTCAATGGAGCCCAGGAGGATCATTGACTCTGAACAGAGCAGGAGGGGGGACTCAGGAGCCTGAGGACTCAGGACAGTGAGGCCCTCCTCCCCACCCCCAACCTTCTCCGGCACTCAGAGTGGGGCCTTGGACACAGGCCACACACCAGGGGGCAAGGCCTGCCTGGCAAATGCCGGCTATTCCTGTTCCCTCCCCCTTCCTGAGCAGCGACCCTGGGAGAGGCTCATAGCACCTGGCCCCTTGCTGGTCTCACCAGAGGACTCAACTAGGGCCAACATGCGGCCCTTGGTCCTGTGCAGGGCCAACCGCAGGTCCCGGAAGGTGCAGCTGAGGGCCACATGGGGAACATCTCGTACCATGATGTCCTCCACTCGCACCCGGTACTGCCTGGGGGCAGAGAGAGGCACTTGGTCTGTGGTCAGCAGGGGGTGGATAGCCGGAGCACTACCAGCAGGGCCATAAGGAAGGCTCAGAGCCCAAGGGGACAAGGACTAAGGGCCAAGGAGTAGTCCCTGCCAGGGTATGGACAAGGGGAGCTCTGGACAGGGGGAGCAAGGTGGCTGGTCGCCCAGCTTCACTGACTGTGGACCCTGCTGGAGTGGGTGTGAGGGGGTCCTAGGCCACCTTCTGCCCCTCACCCATAACCCCTCTGTTGCCCGGCCCTCCATACTGGTGGCGGCCCCAGCCCAGCTCAGGCAGATAAGGCAGTTTCTTGATTCGAATGATGCTGTCGTAGAGTGAGGGCTGTAGGCTCTGGGCCACAGCATTGGCCAGGATGACGGCGATCATGACGGGCAGGATGTGGGCGATCTGGCCTGTGAGCTCAAACACGATCACAGCCGTGGACACCGTGTGTGTCACTGCTCCTGCCAGTGCAGCCGCTCCTAGGGAAGCCACCTTTAGTCTCCTCAGGGTGCCCAGGGACCAGAGGACCCTCCCCACCTGGGGACAGTCCTTTGGGTACCCTCAGGGCAGCCCAGGGCAGTTCTGAGAACTGGGTTTCTGCATTTGAAGGAAGCCTGGTTCCTGCCAGCAGGGGGCACCAGAGCCTCAGACCCTGTGGCCCTACCTGTGGGGAACTGGAGCACTCACCCACCACGGCATAGCCCCCAGGCACAATCCGGTAGGTGCTGCTGTCCGTGTGAATCCCATCTGGGAACCAGGCGGCCATGCTTTCGCCCACCAGACGCCCAAATGCTGCTCCTTCAGGGAGTGAAGTGGGAAGAGAAATAGGTAGTGGAGGGGGAGGGTGGGAACACTAGGAAGAGAGAGGGTCAGAGGGTGGGGGAGGGGCCAGTGGGTCATTCAGTGCAGGGGACAGTCCTCTGGGGTGGGCACTGGGACGGGGGTTGGACCAAAACCCACTCCCAGGCAGTGAGGGTATGGCCAGGGGGTAGCCAGAAGGTGGGAAGGGGAAACAGGCAACTGAGGACTCACCAATGACAAAGACAGGCATGAAGGCCCCACAGGGTACTGGGATAGTGGTGGCCAGTGCCGACATCCAGAACTGTAGGTGGAAGGCAGTTCAAACAGGTAGAGGTGCCACCCGGCTCCTGGTAGCCCCCAGCTCCACCCCAAGGACTCTACATTGCTTATCAGGTAAATGTAGATTTACCAGCTATCCCAGATTTCCCAGGGATGAAGGACTCCAGAACCAGATGGCTTGGGTTTAAATTCTAACTTTGCCAGTAGTTATGTGATGTTGGGCCAATTATGATCCCTTTATGTCTCAACTTCTCATCTTTTTTTTTTTTTTAATTGATTTCAGAGAGGAAGAGAGAGGAAAAGAGAGATAGAAACATCAGTGATGGCAGGGAATCATTGATTGGCTGCCTCCTGCACGCCCCCGCCCTGGGGACCAAGCCCACAACCCAGACATGTGCCCTTGACTGGAATCGAACCAGGAACCCTTCAGTCCACAGGCAGACCCTCTATCCACTGAGCCAAACTGGCTAGGGCTCTTTTTAAATTTTATTGATTTTTAGAGAGGAAGGGAGAGAGATAGAAATATTGATGGGAGAGAAACATCAATAGGCTGCCTCCTGCATGCCCCCTACCAGGGATTGGCCAACCTGGGCATGTGCCCTGACCATCCTGACAGGGAATCAAATAGGTAACCTCTTGGTTCAGGGGTCGATGCTCAACCACTGAGCCACACTGGCTGGGCTTGAATGCCCATCTTTAAAACAGGGAAGCTAATAGTACCTTTCCATAGCACTGTTGTAAGGCTTAAAGGAGTTAATACGTGGGAAGTGCAGAGAACAGTGCCTGGCACCTAATAAGCCTGTGTAACATTAGCTATCCATTTGTAAGGAGCCCTACCTTCATGAGAATGAAGATGACCAGGGTGAGGAAGACATTGGCACGTGGAGGGCTCCAGGCCTGTGAATTTCCGGGAGGCTCTAACTCCTCCACCAGGCCCTGGCGGACCCATGTCCGGTTGTCAAATAGGGTGACCAGCGTCTCTTTCTGTGAGAGCTGTAAGGGAAAAGGGTGCCTCAGGCTGGGGAACACACAGGATGAAGGGAAGGGGCCCTTGGCGGGGCAGGGGCTGTTGGCTTTAGGAGGGGTGCATCCCAGAGGAAAAAGCACACGCTCCTGTTCTGCTGGGGTTACCTGTCCAGCCATGAACTGTCCCAAGCCAGGGGGGAAGGTCAGCGTGGAGATGAGCAGGGTCACGAGAGCCGGGAAGAGCAGGCGTCTAGAGAGGTAGGTTTCACAGCATCAAACACGGGCGGTGCACTTACTACAGGGGAGAAGCTGGGCGCCCTCACACCTCAGGGCGGAGGTCACAGCAGAGCTTGGCTCTTACATGAAAGCACACGGTTCTGAGAGAAGGTCCCCTTTGCTGTTCATGAGATGACGGCCCTGAGGGTGGTGGCCACTGGGGTTACCATGAGCCCCAACAACTTTCTGTTGGCTCCAAAGTCCCTCAGTGGGTAGCAGTGGCAGAAAGTCCACCCCCAGCTCTCTGCGGGACACCTCTGAGCTGTGTCTCCTGCCTTTGCCCCTGGCAGCCCTAGCTGCAGGGCTTTGTGCAAGAGGAAAGAGGTTCTGCCCTGTCTGTTTCTATGTGGTGACTGAGGCTGAAGGTCAGTGTTAGGGGAAAGAAGCTGGGGTCACAATGAAGTTGACTGAAGGTGCCATAGGGAGCAGGCAGTCGGCTGCCCTTTCCCTGAAGGACGTTAGTCCCAACAAAAGTCACGTCTCAGGCTTCCCCCTCCCAACCCTCAGGTCACAACTGAGAGAGTTGTGCTCTGGAGATTAAGAAAAAGTCTCACCCATCTCCATGCTTCCCAGGAGTAAACAAAGGCTCATCTACTCTCCCAGAGACCTGCTATCTGCGCCAGGCCAGGGTTAGGAAATCTTAGATCTAAATCCCTCTGCTACTGACTACAAATTCAAAAGTGCCAGTTCAATCCACCAGGAAAACACCATTGGCTGATTTTCTCAATGGAGTGCCTATATTTTTAAAAATCCTCACCTGAGGGTATTTTTTTCCATTGATATTTTTAGAGAGTGAAGGGAAGGGAGGAAGGAGAGAGAGAGAATTGATGTGAGAGAGACACATCAATTGGTTGCCTCCCGCATGTGCCCTGACTGGGGCTGGGGATCGAGCTAGCAACTGAGGTATATGCCCTTGACCCAGAATCGAACTCTCGACCCTTTGGTCCTTGGGCCGACATTCTAAACCTGGGCAAAACTGGCCAGGGCTGGAGTGCCTGTTTTTGATTGGGCCACTAGATGCCAGCTCACCTGTCACTCCCCCTCCCACCGCCCTGTGACCCTCACACACCCAAAGCCAACCCACTTTTTCATGAGGAAGCGGTTGATGGTTTTCTGCTTCCGCATCACCTGGACAATCTTCCGGTTCAGGTAGACAAAGAGCGCCCCCCCAAAGCCACTGGCAATACTGGAGAGGGAAGAAACATCATGGTAAGAGGGGTCTTCCCTCTTTTACCTCCTCCTCCCCCACAGCCCCAGCCCCACAGCTCCTCACCCAATGACAGCAAAAGCTGGCAGTTCCTGGAGGTCAAAGGGGAAGTCAAGCCGGAACCGGGTTTTGAAGAGAGCAGTGATAGTCTCTGAAGGGAAGGCAGAGTAGCAGAGGGAGGCAGGTGTAGCATTGAGGGCCCCACCTGAGCCATCTCAGGGGCTCCCAGCATCCCCCAGGTGCCCCCACCTTCATCACGGTTCCAGACCGCCAAGACCCGGAAGATGAAGGCACTGAAGGTGGCAGCAAAGAAACCCCGCCAATAGTTCCGCACCGCGAAGAAGGTGGAGGTGACCTCAATGCTGAACAAGACACCTGGGAGGGGCCAGGAGGGCGCCACTTCAGGCCGGGGCCTGGGCCAGGACAAAGAGCCGACGAGAAGGGTAAAGGAGGCAAGGCCCGGGGCAGGGCTGGGGGCTGCACTGGCTGCCTACCTCCGATAGGTGCTGCAAAGCAGCAGCCCACTCCCACGGCACAGGCAGCGGCCAGCATCTCTGTGTTCCGGGATTCATTCTGGTGAGAGTGGTGGAATCAGCTGGGCTCGGCAGCCCACCCCTCTCCTCTGCCCTCCTCCAGGGTACGCCTTACCTCATAGATGCCCCCGAAGAGGGAGAGGAACTTGCTGAGCAGCGCAGCACACATGCTTGCGATATGTACAAAAGGGCCCTGGGGGAGGGGTCAGGAGGTGAGAGGGGAAGCAGCAGCCCTGACCCTGGCCTGGCTTCTTCCTCCACCGGGAGGGACTCCTTTACTCCCCAACCCGCAGTTACCTCTTTGCCAAGGGGCATCCCACTGCCTAGAGCACAGGTCAGCCCGATGACCTTCGCCACAAAGGTCTTGAGGGTGAGGTATTCCTTTAGCACCACGCCCCGCAAGATGGTCTTCATCTCGGGGATGCCGGACCCTGGAGAGTGGAGAGTCCCAGGAGAGTAATGTCATGGGCCTGGCTCAGGAGGCTCCACCTCTGCCCTTCCCTTCTCTCCCTACTGTACCGACAGCCTGAGGAGCCAGGATCTGTGTAAATCCAGCTGAGAAAGTGATGAGGACGACAGGATAGGTGACCCAGGCCAGGTACTGGAGCAAGAGGCTGGTGTTCAAGCCTCGAGACATCCACTGCTGAGCTGTGGGGAGAGGAAGTGCTGCTGGACCCCTGTGGGGCACACCCAGTCCCCGCCTGGCCGCTGGGCCATATCGATAGGAGAGGCTGTCCCAGGGACCGTCATACAGAGCCCAGGTAAAGGGGCAGGGAGGGACGCTAGAGGCCTTCAGTGGGGGAGAGGTCACTGTAGGTAAGAGGGTCAGTTGGAGAGGGGAGGCGAGGAGTCACGGCCTATGGGAGTGGCAGTGATTATGTCTGAAGACAGGCACTCAGGCAGCCAAGTAGCCAAGATACTTGGACAAGTTTGGCATGGAGGAAGCAGGTTGGTGTTTCCCAGCCCGGCCCTGCCAGCCCTGTCCTCACCCTGCAGACAGGCGGCAATGGCATAGTCCATGGCCCAGCTGACCAGCGCCATGACGAGCCCCAGCAGGACCAGGAAGATCCAGTCTTCACCAACCCTGGATACTAGGAACTTATGACAGCGTACGGAACAGACTGGGAGCAGGGAAGGAAAAAACGGGGCTGGCACCAAAGTGCTCCTACCCCTGCCTCCCCCAACCCACAGTGGGCAGCTCTAATGAATGGCTTCTGTCCCCCTAGTACAGCACAGCCGGATCCCCTGCCCAACCCCAGAGTCTCACTGCGGCACCGGGCACAACGGCTCTGTCCGTATTCGAGAAGTTCCAGGGGAGCTGGAGGGGACAGCGGGCTCCTCCAGGGCTCCGGCCCTGCCAGGCGGATCCGAGCAGCCTCCTCTTTGGCAAAAGCCCCAAGGTCCTGAGTGTACCGGCCATACATCTGAGCAATGGGGGAAAACAGGGTTAGCAGCTCTGCGTGGCTGAGAGGGGATTCAGGGAGGGCCCTGGGGCCTCCGCTCCCCTCTCCCAGCCCCCAGATTACATATCCCCTCTTGAACCCACAGGTCCCACTTTGGCTTGGGGTGTGGGAACAATGCACATTGCAGACTGTGGGAGCCGTCCTGCCGGAGTGATGGGGACCGCCAAGGTACAGGGACACAGCTCTGGGGGTGGCAGAATAATCAGTCCTCTTCTCACAGCGCTGCCGGGGGGAGGGGAGCGCTGAGGAGGAGTGGGAGGGAAGCCCCAGAGGAGGGGAGAAGGAAAAACCTACAGCTCTGGAAGTGGGAGGAGGGAAGGTCAGAGAATAAGGGTGGTCAAGGGCTCACGGGTAACAATAAGGTCCTCAAGGAGCTGGGGGCGGCTGAGTCGGGCCTAGGAACAGGCGGGGCCTCAATCCTTATCACGTTCCTGCTGGGCCTCTGGCCTGTGACCGAGTCAGCTGTACCCCTTCCTCCCACCCTAATCCCCTTGTCCCTATTCTCCATCCTCCCCCCCAATCCCCCTCAGCCTGCCAGTCCAGCTTCCAGCTGGGAGTGGAAAGTCTCTCGGGTGGATGGGGAGTACTTGGTGGCCTCAGCCCACACTGGAGCTGCCCTGAGTCCAGTGGTAGGTTGGGGGGGCAGCAGAAGCTGATGGCTGGGCTGTGATGCTGGGGTGATGGGACCGGAGAGTCTCCGAGCTATGGCTAGACCTGCCAAGCTGGGCATGTGTTGAGGGGTGGGGAGGAGTAGATTCCGGCTGCCACCCGCAGAGCTTGGAGACACAAAGGGCTCCTGTTGGGACTGGGGGGTGGTGGTGGTGAGGGAGGGAAAGATGAGAGAGAGAGAGAGAGAGAGAGAGAGAGAACAAGATAGAGAACCAGAGAGAGGAGAGGTGGGGAGGGAAGAGAGGCCAGGGGAAGGAGCAGAGAAGAGGAAGGAGAAGAAGGGAGGAGGAAGGGAGAGAAACAAAGTAAGAGTATAAACAGGCCGACACAATGTCAGAGTGGGAGGTGAGCCTGTGAGAAAAAGACAAAGGGATCGAAAGGAGAAGGGGGAGAGGCTGGAGCAGAGAGTGCCCGGGAGAGAGCTTGACCCTGAGAACTCACACCAGAGATAAAGACCAGGCGAAGGAGATGGGGCTGGGGCTGGTGCAACAGATAGACACCGTTTCAGGGCCCGGTGCCTGGCTTCCAGACCAATGCCCCATTCTTGGCTCGTGCGGATGGACGACACCTCCCACCGATGTGAAGGCTCAGCCCTATACCCTTGCTCCACCCCCTCCTGTCACCTCTCCCTGTCATCCTGTTCCATCCAGTCATTCCCTCTCTTAACTGGGCGCCTCCCGGCCTCAATTACAGCCAGGGGCTCCCCCCTCCTGGAGAGATCCCCTCCCTGCCTCCTTCCTGGGCAAATTCCTGGACCAGCTGTTTGAAAAGGAGCCCTTCCCTAGCGTTTGGGCTCCCCGACCCCAGTGACACAAGGAAGGGCGAAAGGCTTCTCCAACACTCAGTGACAGTGTGGCCACGAGTCAGCTCAGAACCCCAGGACCCCTGCTTCTAAGGTCAAGGGACACCCCCCGGGGTGGGTAGGGGCTGGACACTCAGAGTAAGCATGGACAAAGGTCCCAGTTCCCACACCCATTCCTGCCTGACCCATCCCCCCTGAAGTTCCTGTCCCCCAGCGGGCAGGCCACCTTTTCTTTCTTTCTTTCTTTTTTTTTTTTTTTTTGCCAAAGAATAGACGCAGGGGTTCCAGCCAATGCTGGGGGCTGGGTTTGCCCATCTTTCTACACACGCCTGTTTCTGTGTCCAGCACAGGAAAGCGCACGCACTGGGGACAGAGAGAATGTCCTGGTGGTGGAGATAGAAGTGCAGACAGATAAAGTTCACCGGGTGTGAGCGGTGCGGGGAGGGCAGTGGGGGGCTGAGGCTTGGGTCCAGGTGGTCACGGGGAGGAGCAGAGAAAACGCGGTGTGTTGGGGGGAGAGGTAATGGGAAGGACACCTCGGACAAGCACCTGATCTTGTCCTCCGCAGGCCTGGCCTCGGCCAGAAACCTGCATGCAGCTCGTCCCGCAGCCCTCCGACCGCTCAGGCCCTCGAGCCTCAGTTTCCCCAGCTCGGACGGCTGGGGCGGGGCTCGGGCAGCTCCCGGGTCCTCGCGCTGGAGGGAGGGTGCCCAGGAGCAGCCGCCCGCAGCGCACTCCTCGGAGCTCGGCTCGGCTTCACTCACCAGGGTCTGCTCGTACTGCAGCGCCCGCGGCTCCATCCCCTCCTCCGCCGCCGCGGCCGCCCCGGCCGCCATCTCCGCGCACAGCCCTCCGGCTTCCCGCCGCGCCTCGGGCTCCGGCCTGGACTCGGCTCCCCGCCCGCAGAGCCCGCGCCGACACCCGTCCCGTCCCCGCAGCCCCGGCGGCCGAGTGCAGAGAGCCTCCCGCTCGCGTCCCCTCCTCGGCGGGCGGGCCGAGGGCGGTACCCACGGTGCTGCTCCGCCCGCCGGCCCGTCCGCGGGGGCCGGCCCAGCCCGGCCGGGGTCTGCTCGGGGCCGCCTCCTCGGCTGGGGAGAGGCGGTAGGGGGCGCTGGGAGCGCGCGAGCCCGCGCCCCCTCTCCGCCGGGGCGGGGGGCTGCGCGGGGCGCCCGGGGCCAGCGCGGGGGCGGGTCCGCTGGCACGTGGAGGGGCGGGCTGGGTCTGCGGCTCCCGGTGCCCAAGCCGCGCGGGAGGGACTGGAGGCGCCGGGGCCGGCAGCGGAGACGCCGCGGCTCCGCCTGGAGTGAGAAGCCGAGCTGCGGGGATCGGAGGGGAGCACTGAGTCCAGGAGAGGGGGGGGACAGTGCTCGGAGTGGAGGCCCTGGGGCTCTCTCATCCCTCCCCTCCGCCCTTTCCTGGTGGCTTCCCCAGGAGGTGCCCCTGGAGCACCCGGGACCGAGGGGTGTGCGGGGCTGGGCCGGGGCGGGGGGAGGGGAGTGGGACCCGAAGGAAGCGGGGTCCAGGTGCGGGAGAGCGCGCTCCTGGAGGCGGGCGCGGAGGGGCAGAGGTCGCTTCTTTCTGGCGGGGCCCTAGGAGAACCCGAGTAGCTGCTGACATCTCGCCGCCTTGGGGGAGATGGCCTGATGGGCTCTCGGTTCTCCATCAGGTTCGAGGCAGGACAGAGCCGAGGGTGGGGCGAGCACAGGGTGGATGGGCTGTGTGTGCGAGTCAGAGATAGTGTCGGGGAGAGGCCCGTGCCCAGGACACAGGCAGTGTGCCCCGGAGGAGGCCACGGGAGGAAGGGGCATGCGGAGGTGCAGGTCCTGGCTGGGAGGAGGGGACGGTGCCCAGGAAGGGGGCATGCGGGAGGAGCCAGCCTCCTGGGGGAAGGGGCGATCAATGTCAAGCCAGAGTGTCCGCAGGAGAGGAGAGTGCCAGGATGAAGGGGCACACAGATCAGTGTCCAGTGGGGAGGGAACGAGCAGTTCCAAGCTGAAGGGGCAGTGCTTCGGAGGGCACAGTGTGATGGGGTCAATGCCAGGCTACAGGGGCGGTGTGAGCAGGGCTCAGGGCGAGAGGACAATGGTGGGGAGGGTGCGGTGCCAGGGGAAGGGATAGTGCAGGCTTTCCTCTTCCCCATAGTGACATCATGGCAAATTCCCAAACTAAAAGGACCCAGCTCGGGTGACATCCAGCAGGGCCGAGCTGGGCCAGGCCGGCCTGAAGGGCCTCGGTGCCAGCTGCAGGGGCGAGGTAGGTCCGGCGCCCTGCGGAGCCGGCGCTCTGGGGGCGGGGTTCTGCTCCGCCCTTTCTCGGCGCGGACTGTGCCCTCGGCAAGCACGCGTGCTGGCAGGGTAGGGCTGGGCTGGGCTTCTCTGGGCCAAGGATCAAGGTCTCTGGCTGGGCTAGGCCCCCAAGCGTTCCAGTGTTCTCAACAGGAAGACTGGAGAGGGCGCAGTCGAGCCTCCGCGGAGAGCGAGGAACCGCGCCACCTCGGCGGGAGGTGGGGGTCTGTCTTATTGTGATCCCGCCCTGGGGCGGGGTTATCGACCTGAGGCCCGCCCTCAACACTGAAGTCGCCGGAGCGTAGTTCGGGGCGGAAGTTAGGAAGCCCCGAGAGCTAGGCGACGGAAGTGGCAGCGCTCCTGCCTGCCTGTGCGCAGGCGTTATTCTATTTCCTTGTGGTTGCAGTTTAGGTTGCACCTATTCCCGTCTCCCGCTCCTTTTCTCCGCGCGAGGGGGTGCGCGTACTCGTAGTCGTGGTTGCGCGGTCAGCGCCCCCGGTGCTACCCTCGTCGCCCTATTACCATGGCCGGCATTCTGTTTGAGGATATTTTTGATGTGAAAGACATTGACCCGGAGGGCAAGAAGTTTGATCGAGGTAAGTAAGGTATGTAGAGGCGGTTTTGGGTCAGGGACTAGTCCGGTTCTCGGGGACACGCCCCCGGGCCCCGGTCCACCCAACCCACGTGGCATGCGCCTCCCATCAGGTCCTGATGTAGGGACCGCGTTCAGGAAGCACTTTATAGATGAAAGAACGGAGACTCCGAGCTCTCCTGCGTTCACACATGCTGTGCCCGGTGCCTGGGTGGCCTTTTCTCGTGGTGCTGGTAAACTCCTGGGCATCTTTCTGGTCCCTGCCCGCTCTGCCAGGCGCTGTACTCTGCACCTTCCACGCTTTGTCTGATTTCTTTCAAGAGTCTGCATGAGGTAGTTATTGTCTTACCCGTTTTTCTCCGAGAAGTAACCCACCCAAGGCTGCACAGCAAGTAATCTGACTCCAGAACCTATTTTATTATTATTATTATTATTATTCGTTTTTATTGAGTTTATTGGGGTGACATTGGTTGACAAACCCATATAGGCTTCAGGTGTACAATTCAACAGATCATCTGCATACTGCATCGTGAGCCCATCGCCCAAAGTAAAGCCTCTTTGCACCTATATTCTTGTATTGCCCTTAGAATCCTTAGCTTTTTGTGAAGCCCTCCCCGAGTTAGAGTTGACTGCTTGGAATAATAAAGAGTTGCTCTTTATTCTGTCATTGATCAATAATTGTTTCTTTCAGTTTTCTTACCCTTTGCCTGGAGACTGAGATGTTCTTCAAGGCAAACACCAGTTCTTACATGTCCTAATAATCCCCTCAGCACAGCACCTGACACAGAAAGACAAAACCTTTGCCCAAAGATAGGTTGTTTCTTAATCACCGAGGCAGGCCTAGAACCTGGATATTCTTTGTTGCCAGAGGGCTCTTGATTCTTTTCCCGGGATTTTCTCCACTTTGCTTCTTGCATATCTGGTTCTGATTGAGCCTGCACTTCTGAGAGCAGATGAGAGGCCAGTGGATGCTAATCCTCCCATATAATAAAAGCCAAATATGCAAAGTGACCAAACCACTCACTGGTGGCCCATGCCATCCCCCATTCAGCCCGCCAGTCACCTCCCACAGAGGGAGATCAGACTGCTGCTTAGGCCCACTCCCCGTAGTGGGCTTACCAGACAGTAAGAGGGTGCAGGCCCAGCTGAGAGATCCGCCCCCCCCCCAGTGCACAAATTTTTGTGCACCGGGCCTCTAGTTGGGGTAGGTTGAGTCTTCTATTGCATACAGCCCCCCAAAGTGGGGTCTGCAGGGTCACCCTGGGTCAGGCACTTATCCTCTGCCACTCTTTCTCTACTTCTCTCCAGTGTCCCGACTGCATTGTGAGAGTGAATCTTTCAAGATGGACCTTATCTTAGATGTAAACATTCAGATTTACCCTGTAGATTTAGGTAAGTATTGAACACAGAAAACAGCAGGAGACTTTTTGCCATTTCAGCTGTTTTCACTCTCAGATATTGCTGTTACTTTCAGGTGACAAGTTCCGGTTGGTCATAGCCAGTACCTTGTATGAAGATGGTACCTTGGATGATGGTGAATATAACCCCACAGATGACAGACCTTCCAGGTGAGGGAGTGAAGAAGGGAGTACTTGAAATATGCCCAAGAACAAAGTAGATAATTGGTATAGAAAGACCCTTATTTAGTTAAATCGTGGAATAAATGATTATCAGCAGAATCTGAGGAAACTTAAAGAAATTGCTGCACTTAAGAATTAGAAAGGGCCCTAACTGGTTTGGCTCAGTGGATAGAGCGTCAGCCTGCAGACTCAAGGGTCCCAGGTTCGATTCCGGTCAAGGGCATGAACCTTGGCTGTGGGCACATCCCCAGTAGGGGGTGTGCAGGAGGCTGCTGATCGATGTTTCTCTCTCATCGATGTTTCTATCTCTCTCCCTTCCTCTCTGTAAAAAATCAATAAAATATATATATATATAAAAAAAGAATTAGCAAGGTACCTGGCCAGTGTGGCTTAGTGGTTGAGTGTCGACGTATGAACCAGGCAGTCATGGTTCGATTCATGATCAAGGCACATGCCTGGGTTGCAGGATTGATCCCCAGTGTGGGGCATACAGGAGGTAGCTGATCAATGATTCTCTCTCATCATTGATGTTTCTACCTCTCCCTCTCACTTTCTCTCTCTTAAATAAATGAAAACATATTTTTAAAAAATTAACAAGGTGTTAATCCAGAGCAGTGATTACATGCTTGTGACTTGTAGCTTTTTGATGGTGGAGGAAATGACTACTGAGTGACCTAGGCTGTGTGGGCCGTGAGTCTTGGGGGAGAGTTTGGTGTGATGGGAGTTTGGAGCCCCATTGAGTTAAAATCTCAGTCCTACCACTCATTTGTTGAATAACCTTAACCTCTTTCAGCCTCAATTTTCTTGTCAGTGAAAGACAGATGGTTGTATCTAGCTCACAGATTTGCTGTGAGGACTAAATAACATTGTATTTGGGAAGTGCCTGTTGCTATAATGCTGGCACTTAGTTAGCTGTTACCAATTTTATTTTATTTTTTATTTTTTTAATATATATTTTATTGATTTTTTACAGAGAGGAAGGGAGAGGAATAGAGAGTTAGAAACATTGATGAGAGAGAAACATCGATCAGCTGCCTCCTGCACACTCCCTACTGGGATGTGCCCGCAACCAAGGTACATGCCCTTGACCAGAATCGAACCTGGGACCCTTGAGTCCGCAGGCCGACGCTCTATCCATTGAGCCAAACTGATTAGGGCGACCAATTTTAAAGAACCTCTCTTTGTTAACTACTTTAAAAATATATGTTTTTATTGACTTTTAGAGAGAGAGGAAGGGAGAGGGAGAAGAGAGAGATAGAAACATCAAGGAGAGAAACTTCGATTGACTGTCTCCTGCATGCCCCCTACTGGGGATTGAGCTCCCAGCCTGGGCAAGTGCCCTGACCAGGAATCAAACCAGTGACCTCTTGGTGCATGGGTCGACATCCAGCCACTGAGCAACACTGGCCTGGCATTGTTAACTACTTTTAAGAGTAACTGCCACTATTGTTCCACAGGGCTGACCAATTTGAGTATGTAATGTATGGAAAAGTGTACAGGATTGAGGGAGACGAAACTTCTACTGAAGCAGCAACACGCCTGTAAGTTCCTTGGTCCTGTGAGAACCCTTTCACCCTGCCCTGTTCTGAGAATTTGGGACTTGCTTATCCTTCCTGTGTTGGGTCCCTCTCTTTAATTACCTCAGACCTAAGCAGGACCCAGAAAGAAACTTCTGGGAACAGTTTTCAGTCTAAAACGTAGGCTGCTCACTTTGCTCTTTGTCAGGGTCTCGGCCCTGGTGGTCCAAATGAGAGACTGACAGTCTTGCTGTGTGCAGTGCAAAGGAAGGTTGCTTCCTTAGGAAATAAATGCAGCATCAAGTAATTAAACTGCTAGGTGTGCTTGTGCGTGTGTGTTTGTATATATGTGTGTATATGTATATGCTGCTACACTGCAACCCAATCCCTAGTTCTTTGGTTTCCCTGACGGCTATTTTTTCTTTTCTTTAAAATCTTATTAAAACAATATGTGCCCTTTGTAGGAAATATGAAAAGCAGAGAAGTAATGTCAAGAAGGAACAAAAATCATCTATAATTCCATACCCAGAGGGAACCTTTTACATAAACATTTTTGAATAATTTAGGTATTTTTTTTCTTCTGTGCTTTTTTCTTTGAGATCTTGTTGTTTATTACGATGTTTTCTTCTACTCTTTTTGCTTAGTGTTATGTAAAACATGTTTCCCCATGTCAGTTAAGAGCTTTTCCTAAACATTTTAATAGCTGTATATCTAACATTCCAGTAAATGGATATATCTGAATTGATTTGACCATTTCCTTTATTCTGGGCATGTAGTATTTTCCACTTTTGCTAATATCAAAAGCACTGCCGTGCATATGTCTGCATTCATTTTTGTCTGAATTTTGGTTCCTAGTGACAAAACATTAGAAAGGTGCCTCTTTTTCTTAGGCTGGGCTGGAAAGCCGCTGAGTAACAGCTGCTCCAAATCTCACACTCATGGGACTGGACCTTCTGTTTCAGCTCTGCCTACGTGTCCTATGGGGGCCTGCTCATGAGGCTGCAGGGTGATGCCAACAACCTTCATGGGTTTGAAGTGGATTCCAGAGTTTATCTGCTGATGAAGAAACTGGCCTTCTGAACCACGGGGAAGCCAACCTTGCAGCTTAGTCACTCAGGTCATGGACATTTGTTCAAGTCTGAGTTGCAGTTGCTGTTGTCCTGCTCAGGAGGGGCTGGCTGTCTGTCCACCGTGGTGCTTCTCTCCCTGGTCTGGACTCTGGGAAACTGACTTGCCTGTGAAAGACCCAGCGGGAGAGTTTAAAATGAACCAGAAGTTGTTATTGTGTGTATGGTTTTTTTAAATTAAACTTTACTTTTTCAGACTTCTTCTCCCCTTAAATTTTTTTCCCCATTTATTTTAAAATCATTTTTTTTTTTAGTTTGCCTATGGTATATTATGTCTCTGGCCCATAGCCAGATGATCATGCCGATGCAAGATCTGTCTCAGCCTTTTGGTCTCCATAGTCAGTCTCCTGGCTGACTATCCCCAACATTTGTCCTCCAGTGTGATTTTCTACACAAGAGAAGCTATGGTGTTTTTGGCTCCTGGGGCACCCCAAGCGCAGAAGATAACCCTCCACACCCCATACTAAACCAAAAGAAACACGCCCCCTGCAGAGACCACTCATTTTCAACCCATTTCCCTAAATACTCTAACACCTCATGTAAAGACCTGAAAATGATGGGGAAGGAGATACCCCAGGCATCCCACCAGGGGACCAGCTCCCCTGGCAAAACGAGAGATCAATAGAGACAACTGCTTAATACACACTCACAGATCTTTCTGGATAGTTACCTGGGTTTCCAGGGGTAATCAGAGTCCGGGATGCTTTCTCCGGTATGCAGAGAATTTTGAATTGGCAAGGAGCCCTGCTCCTGTCCTTCCAACTCTTTCAGTCGCTTAAGAAGTCAAATCACGTTGACTTGAATGAGTCACTTGGGTAGCCTGGAAATGTTCATCATTTTTAAGGAAGCTTTGGGTAGAGGCTTTTATACACAAGATGGGACACAACTCTGCAGAAAATAGGAAGAGTGGATTTGGTGGTTATGGGAACAGGTGGAGGAGCTAGCTGTCTGCTCTGTATTCCAGTGGTGACCTGGCGGGAGGGTAAGTTTCTTACCGGTGACACTGAACAGGGAGCTGCTGCACAGACCAGGGAAGCGGACAGGGCACCAATACCAATGAGGTTGGCAGGCCAGTGCCAGTGCCCGAGACAGTGCAGCAGCCTGACTGCAGTCACTACCTTAAACGTGGAGGAAGCACACAGTGAAGGAAATGGTGATGCTTACAAGGCCTCCAGCAGGGCAGCTGGCTCTTCAGCCTGGCATGCAAGGTCCCCAAGAAAGCATACTGGACTCTGATTACCCCTGGGAAACTCAGGGTAACTATCCAGAAAGATCTGTGAATGTGTATTAAGCAATTGCCTCTGTTGATCTCTCGGTTTGCCAGGAGAGCTGGTCCCTGGTGGGATGCCTGGGGTATCTCCTTCCCCATCATTTTCAGGTCTTTACATGAGGTGTTAGAGTATTTAGGGAAATGGGTTGAAAATGAGTGGTCCCTGCAGTGTTTCTTTTGGTTTAGTATGGGGTGTGGAGGGTGGAGAGGGAAATTGGAGATGCAGTTGGGATGGATTTTTATGGGATCCTACAGCCTTTCCATAGAGTCCAGTTTTGGGGTGGGGGGCAGGTAGGGAAGGTTGGAGTGGGAGAACCTAATTACCAATAGTAGTTTCTGGGGTGGCACAGCAGACTGTCCCAGCTGCTCTGGGTGGCAGAAGAAAGAACTGGCAGACAGTTGAATAGAGATAGGGATGTTCTGGTTATAACAGTTTTTTGTTTTGTTCTGTGTGAAGAGAAGAGGAGACAGATTTGAGAATGGGTTAGATATTCAATAGGGACAAATTAGTTCACACTGGAGAAGCCCATGAGTTATTTACATTTGCCCCAGAGCAAGTCAGATGCCAATACTGGATGCCTGGAACTTTCTGGCTACATACTTTTTGCAGTTTTGCCATCTTTGTTTCATCTGACTGTGCTGAGAACTCCTAATTCTTTGTCTCTGGTCCTGTTGACATATCTGGTTCTGGGTGCTGCCTCTTTCATGTACCATAAAGGGTTTCATTTGATTATTAGATTTACTCTACTCTAGTACTGCAGTAAATTAAAATTTCCACTTACCATTCTCTTGACTGCATCCTGGGTTTGTAGTGTAGATGAACTGATTCTTTCCCATGTAGAAACTGATACCATTCGAGATTTGGACAATACTTTTGAGCTTTGTGCATTTGTTGATTCCTTCTCCATGGCAACTGTTCTGTCCATAATGGGGGAGAGGGACACCTGGAGATGTCTAAATTGGTCACTCGTACCAAGAGCTTTGGCTTTCTACTCAGAACTCTTTTATCTGTTGATGTATTTACTCCCTAAGGACTTGGAAATTTTTCCTAATAGAATCACTGAATAACATTGGACAGTGCACCACACTGGGGAGAGTATGAGCTCTAGACTAAGTCGGCCTAGGGTGTTTTCCCTCTCACAGGCTGTGAAACCTTGGGAACTTGCCTGGCTTCTCCCTCATCTATAAAATAGAGAGTCACCGGAGCCTTAAAAAAGGCCCTATGGTTCCTGGCACACTGACTTTCATTCTGCGTTAGCATGATCCCAGGTATTGGTGGCTGTGTTTGGAACGCTGGTTCCTGGCTCCTCTACCTACACTGTAGACATGCCCCTCCTGTCCCAGCTGCTCTGGGGCCAGAAGAAAGAGAACTGGCAGACAGTTGAATAGAGATAGGAACTCCCTTGTCATAACAGTTTTTTGTTTTGTTTTGTGTGAAGGGAAGAGGAGACAATGATTTGGGAATGGGTTAGATGTTCAGTAGGGACCTTCTGGTGGGGAGGGAAGAGGAGAAACTCCCATTAGTTTCCCCTACAGGAGCCTCTGGAGGTAGTGTTGACCTTTGCAGTGGAGTTTTTGTTTCGGACAATATAAACCTCCTCTCCCTTAGCACCAAGATGGCATTTATGGGCAAAGCCCCATAAGCCTGGCTTTCTTCTCTAGAGATCCCCTAACAGGGTTTATGGTGGTCACACAAGGCTGCTTTTTAGATGCTATTTACCTCTGGGTATTGGGAAATCAGCCTTCAACTTGTACTTGAGTTGTACTTGTGTCTCCTGCTGTGTGAGCCCTAGGAGACTGACTCATGCCACTTCCTGCACTTCCCCCGACCTCCACAGGAGGGAGGCAGGACCCCAAGCTCCGCGAAGCTTCCTGCTGAGCGGCTGAAGCTCTGGCTGTTTGCTCAGCTGTCATTCCAGGTCTGGTCTTGCCTGAACTGTCTGCACATCCTTACCTGAGGTGTGAGGCAATCCTAAGCTTCCTGTTAGCTTTTCTTTCTTTCTTTTTTTTTATTTTGTTAGAGAGGGGCAGAACTGTTGCCCTCTGAGAAGAACATCTTTTTCTTTTCAGTTAGCTTTTGGGTACTTAATTTATTCTTTATTGATACAGGCTCAGGCAGTCTTTCTGGGAGACAATGTCTCATTCATTTCTCAGGGGTAAGGATCTCCTAAGAAAAGGAGATCAGAATGCCATTGAGACTGAGGTAAAGGGTTATGGTAAAGAGACTAACCTTAGTTCTGAGCAGAAGACCAAAGCTCGCGTTTCTGTTTTTCTGATATAAGATTAGTCTCTACCTTTGTTCAGAGGGCAGGCCAGTCCAGGCCTTTGAGGAATTATTATACGAAAAAGCATATAGAGAATTCATAAGTTGTAAATTTGTACAGAAAATAGACCAACGATAACTAGCTGCTCTGGTGAATATTATCGATAGGTTAAAAAAATAGCTTTTCTGCCCAGCCGGTGTGGCTCAGTTGGTTGAGCGTCGTCCCATGCACCAGGAGGTCGCGGGTTCGATTCCGGTCAGGGCATATGCCCAGGTTGGGTTGTGGGCTCCATTCCCAGGAGGGGGCATGCAGGAGGCAGCGATGGATGTATCTCACATCAATGTTTCTCTCCCTCCCCCTTTCTTTCTCTGAAATCAATAAAAACATATTAAAAAAAAAAGCTTCTGGTGTTTTTAAACGTGAAAAACAACCCCCTTTCTGTCCTATGTATCTGCCTTTACCAGGGCTTTGGGTTCCAGGTGACAGCAGGGAATCTGGTGGAGTTCCAGTTGTCTCCCAGGCCTCTCCTCTGGGTAAGAGAATTACACACGGGAGACACTGCTGGCGTTGGCAGTGCCTGAGTACCTTACTCTTCCTGAGACAGATTCTGGAAGTGAGGGTGGGCCGCAGGTAGAAGAGGACTGGTAGGGTTGGGCATGGCAGCAGAGGGGTCAGGAAGCGGGAGTTGGAGCTGGACCATGGGGGTGGGCGAGGTGGGTAAAGGGGAGAAGAGTGTATGCTGTCCAATGGGAGGAAGGGTTAGGGAAGAAGAATATCCAGGCTGGAGGTTGGGTGGCAGGGAACCCATGTCCGAAGTTCCTGGAGGAATATTCAGGGCTCCGAGGGCCCTGGGTGAGGGTCCAGGAAAGAGTCCATGAGTTCCATTCAAAGGTCCGTGTGTCCTGTTCAGTTGTCCAGGGATTTGGTCTAGCAGACCAGGCCTCTTGGCTCTGAACCCCTGCAGCCTCTTCAGAAGTCCAGAGCCAGTAGTTTTGGCCGGGACAGTGGAGTTTGTCTCCAGCAATCCAGAAGTCCTGTTTGGAAGCTTGTTCAGTGTGAGGAGTAGAGAGGTACTGTGTGGGAGCGCTGTGGTGGGTAGGGCCCGCTTGGCACAGAGGGTGGGTCCTACTACGTGCAGCAGGAAACGCACCTTTCCTCGGAGCAGCTGTTGGAAGCTCAGGAAGATGGCATGGGGATCTTTGTGAGCTGTGGTTCTGCCCTGTGGAGGAAGCTGAGGGCAGAGGATGGGCCTGAGGCCAGAGACCTGGGCCAGATCTCATGCCTCCCTTGTCTATGTGGGTAGATAGGGTACCAGCACCCAGGCTTTATGGCTGGGAGGGAGCATTCCTTGGGAGGTCATCTCTTCTACCTCAAGATTCCTAGAATTCCTCTTCCCTCAGGCCTTCTGAGGAGACTGAGTCAGAAAAGAGGGACATTTTCTATAGTTCCCTTGACTGGGGACTTACCTGGGTTCCAAGGAGGCCCTGCAGGGCCCCAAGGAGGAGGCGAACTTGTCCAGAAAGCTGCCCCAGTAAGAATGAGAGGCAAGTGGGTCCCAGCTGTCCCCGCGCTGCCATCACTCCCTCCAGCAGGAGGGTCGTCGCCCCCAGAACGTCCTGTGCCTTGGTCTGCTCCTGGGAAAGAGGTGGACGAGAGAAGTGCACTGCTTCAAAGGACATGCTAATAGCGGGTGGGGAGCTTGGAGGAGTAGCCAGCAGCATGAATCATAGAAGCTGAGAATTGGACAGGACCAAGGTCCCACCCAGCACAGGAATTCCTTCACAGTCTCCGGACAATTGGTCATCAGCCTCTGCTTGAATAACTCCAGTGTCCGGTAACCCTGCCTGGTCTTACACTTACTTTCAGTCAGAAAAGCTCTTTTTCTCTCTTTCTTACATTATACTGAAATATGCCCTTTTATGGCATTTACCTCTTGGTTCTAGTGCTGCAAATCTCATTCTGCTACAGAACCTTAGGATTATGTGATTATTTTTTAACTGAGTGTAGAGATGAAACCATCATAAAGAGCATAAAGATGAAGGGAAGGGCTTGGGGGTACATGGCAGAGCTGGAACTAAGGGCTCCATAGGAGCTGCCCTTCCCCAGCCCAGCCCCCTAGGAGATCTGAGGGGGGAATGAGATTCCAGGGATCTTGAGGATAGAAGAGTTGACCTCCCATGGAGTGCTCCTTCCCAGTGGTTTCCTGAGCCTCTGACTAAAGCTCCCCATGCTATACCACGAGACTGCCACTTCGTCCAAGCTAATCAGACAGGCTTTGTATTTTTTCTTAAAACCATCCCTCATATAACATGTTTTCTAACCTCTTCATGCTCAGGTTGCTTCCTCCTGGGTACATGCTAGTTTAATAGGTCCTCTGAATAAATTAGCGTGTGTCTAGTACTCAGTCCAGTATTTTTAAGTGCAGTCCACTCGGAATTTTATGGGGATATTTCCACATTATTGGTGCTAAACATTGAAAGCTACCCAGAACCACTAGGTTTTTAAATAGCCGCCTCAATAATGTTGTTACATGTGAAGTTTGGGGTCAACTCAACCCTCCTCGATCTTTTTCGTAGTAAATTCTAGGGCCAGAAGTTTCTATGAGGGAAGCAGGGCATTGTGGCCTGCAAGCTGGAGTATGACTTTACTCAAGTACTTTACACATGTAGAATTTTTAATCTATCTCTGTTAAATTCCACCATGTTTTGAACCTCGCCTTTCAGTGATTTGAATCTTGATTCTGTCTTTTGTTATTTTTGTGGTGGTTCCCAGCTTTGTGTCATCTGTGGCTGACAGATCAGTCTTACTTATTCATACCAACTTAAGAAGCTTGAATTGGAATAAGTCAAAGGCATGGCCCATGAGAGACCTCTATCCAGCTTTTCATGGTGTTCAGCTTTGAATCTATTTAACACACTGGAACTGCAAGTCGTCATCTTGCCCAGAGGATATTATCACAGTAGAATGTAGATTGGGTTAGAGTGGCCAAGCTGAAGATGAGATATTTTCAGAGAGCTCAGGAATTTTAAAGAATCCACAGGAAGCAACAGGAAACTGATGAAGACAGGGCTTAGTGAAGCCCAGGGAAGGGCTGGCTTTCTTACCGTCTGAGTTTTCCATTCTCTCAAGCTAAAGTCCACAGCAGGCAGCAGGACAGGCGTGGACAAAGGGTTAATGTCTGGGCACTGGCTCTGTTGAAAAAATTGGTGGGAGAGGGGGAGAGAAAGGAGAAGGGGACATGGCCACCTAGTGACGAAGATGCTTCCATGAGTAATAGGTCCAGATTAGTTTTAGAGGAGAGCTTGATTGCAAATCATAATCCTTGTCAAGGAGTGCTGATCAGGAGGTCATGGTCTTACCAAAGACAGTATTGGAAGAACAGTGATTGGATCAGGGAGCGAGAGGATTTGATGGGAGTGAGGGTATCTTACCAGTTAAACGGACAGAGGGGACAGTGCTGGGGGGTTCTCACCAGTCTGCCGTGAAGGACATGAGAGTCACGTAGCAGTTTATTTAGCAGTCGGGGGTCACAGGCAGGAGGAGCCGGGCTAGACCAAGTCAGCCGTGTGGTTAGGAGAAGCATGACCACGAGGAGCAGTTCTTAGATTAGGAGGGTGAGGGTGAAAGGGGTGGGTAAGGAAGAAATCATTGTTGGGTGGTGGTCCAGGAATTCCCATGTAGGACCCAGACCTGAAATCCAGGGACTCTGCCACTCAGAGGCCTCATTCCTCGGAAAGTGGGTTCTTCCAGGCCGCCCCCCCCCCCCCACACACACACTGTAGCGTACCTCCTTTCCTTCCCCTTCTACCACGTTCTGATTGGGCTCTCAGCCCCTCAGTGTGTCCTTACCAGTCAGCTCCATTCTGGCCAGGCTGTCTGGTTGGAGTGGCTCCCTGGATGGGGCCTCTCCCCTGAATCCTTCCTGGGGCCATGGAGGCGGCTTGGGCTCTTGCACTTCTGGGCAGAGTGGGGCGGGGCACACAGAGTGGGGTGGGGCACGGCACAGGTGGGCTGAGGAGGGGGGTCTGGAATCTATCCTGCAAGTGACGGGGATAATGAACACTTATTCAAGTTTTAAGGAGGAGACTCTGTCTGGCTGGGGGAACAGAGGCTGGGAGGGCTGGCGCTGCTGACCAGCCTAGAACTGCTAAAGCTCTGAGTGCTCCCACGTTTTCTTGTGATTGTAGTATATGGTGTCTCCTCTTTGTCAGGGTGTCTCCTCTTTGTCAGGGTTTCTCAGTGAATCTGACCCGAGTTTGGTGCCCCTGCCTCCTGCCGAGAGCAGCAGGACAGGATATGTACACAAACACACATCTTAATTGGCCTCAAATTCTGAGCCACCTTGATTGTTTGGTTGGAGAAAGTCTGGCATGGGGATAGAGAAGGGAAGCACTGTGGTATAACGTGAAGAAGAGGGGGGAACCGGAATAAGGCCAGGATGGGGAACTAACAAATATGTACAAGGTATCGAGGGGTAGCTTGTGGAGTGGGGTTGGGGATGGAATTAGGCAAAAACAAACAAATAAGCAACACCAACAAAAACCAAAAAATTGGACTAATATAAGTCATTGATTAAAAGATTAAGAGAAGGTGGCATGGGAGAAATTAACCTCCAATTTTTTCCCTATTTACCCCCCCCCCCCCTGCCCCCACATAAAGCCTCTTAAAGTTTTGCTTTGCCCTCCAAGTTCTGAAATACTGGGTTTTCCAAGGCAAGGAGATGGGCTACCATTCCCGAGACTTTCTTCCTGAGGCAAGTTGTCCAGGAATGGATACCTACTGAGTGAGAGATGCCCACCTCACATGGCATACCTCCCCACGGCCACCCACCATATCTCATAGCCCATACCTTCCTCCCTGCCCCCTCTTCAGACCCCTTCCGGTTCCTTCACAGGACCCCCCACATGGCTTCCTCCTTCTTTCACAAGTTGTGCAAAGAGGCCTGCACCTGTTTCAATATTGGGATTTCCTATAGGTCTGTCAACATGCAGGAGTTCTCCTCCCATCACCCTCTCTTTGCGCCCTGGCTTGCCTGACCCAGCTTCCCAGCCCCTGGATCCAGAACCTTAAGCTAACTAGGAATGACTGGGTAAGAATGAAGATTGGAGCTGTGTCCACCTTGGCGCTGTGTTCCCCAAGTCCTAATAATATACTTCCTTTCTCATTCTCTCCCCCCCCCCCCCCCAAGCCCATGTTTCCTTTCCTTAGTGCCCTCCAGGACTGTGCTGTATTTCACCAAGTCTGTGACCAGTCCCTCAGAACCCAGCACCCCACCCCCTACCCCTGCTCTGCCCTACTCCTCCCATTCTGGGAAGGCCACACGCTTCCTGACAAAGGTCAGTGCCTGCAGGTTCCAGTGTGCCCGCCCCTCCCCCAGCTGGGAGCCCAATTCCTCTTTCCTGTCCTTCCTACCCTCACTTAACTGCAAGCCCTGCTTGCCACTCACCGGGTGGAGAAGGGCTCCAGGACCCAGGTGCAGAGCAGAAGGCACCCTGGGGAGCAGATGGGTAGGAAAGCTTGTGGCGTTGGGGCATAGCCCCTTCCCAGCAGTGGGGTCACACGCCTGCCTGGGCCACTTCTGCCCAATCAGAGAGCAGGGAGCCACCAGACACTGCGGAGGGCCCCCGGAAGTGACGCCTTCTCCTCCCACCCTCACTGGACCTGGAGCCCCTGCCTGGACCATGGTCTGTTATCACAGCCCGGCTCCTCCACCCACACACACCACGGGGAGGCTCTGCCTTTTCCTAGGAAATGGCAACCTGGGACCTGGCTGGAGAGGAGATGGGAGGGGAACAGGTTTTTTTTCAGGAGGAATCCAGCAGGACATTTTTGTTTTCAGTTCCTGGCTGGCCAAATTTCTTTTCCCTAGATACCACACCTGCTGCTGAAATCCAATAAGGCTCCTGCTTCCCTGCTTCTCTCTCTTATAGCCCCTAGGGCCGTGGTCAGCAAACTGCGGCTCTCAAGCCACATGCGGCTTTTGACCCCTTGAGTGTGGCTTTTCCTAAGCCTTAGGAGTATCCTAATTAAGTTAATAACCATGTATCTACCTATATAGTTTAAGTTTAAAAAAATTTGGCTCTCAAAAGAAATTTCAGTCGTTGTACTGTTGATATTTGGCTCTGTTGACTAATGAGTTTGCCAACCACTAGGGCCTAGGGCAGTGGTTCTCAACCTTCCTAATGCCACAACCCTTTAATACAGTTCCTCATGTTGTGGGGACCCCCAATTTCATTGTTACAAATTGAACATAATTAAAGCATAGTGATTAATCACAAAAACAATATGTAATTATATATGTGTTTTCCGATGGTCTTAGGCAACCCCTGTGAAACGGTCGTTCAACCCCCAAAGAGGTCGCGACCCACAGGTTGAGAACCGCTGCCCTAGGGGCTAGTGTCTTATACCCGCTTTCTGAGTGGGAACATGGGTATTGCCTGTATTAGAGAATGACGCTGACAGAGGTCAGTGTTGTGGGGAAAGGGTCTGGGCAGTTTGAAAGGACTGCACAGAGAGGGCGTGTGTGCTGGGCTCAGGTGCTCCTCTGCTGGGGCCCACTGGCTCAGACAGCTAAGCTCACTTCTCTGCCAGTGTATGCCTTTGCTTGCCGGGTCTTTCTCCCTCTTCCATCTCCTACCATTCCACATGTGACAAGAGGCATAACCAGGCCCATGTGTCCCAGTCTTAGAAAGACAGCTGCTATCCCCCCCAATACCTCCTGCTGGCCTAGCCCCCCTCTTCCTTTGGCCCTGCCTCTTGTTCCTTTGCTTTCCTCTCAATCCCAGGCTCCCCACAGCCTCTGTCCTCAGGGCCTCCTGGCCTGACCTTGTTCCCATCCCCCCTCCCACCCCCCCAGTTCTTCTTCAGGCTCTCTCCTGCTCCTCCTCCCCAGGCAGGATGGGGCTGTCTGCTAAGGAGCATGGCCTAGATCCCGGAATTCTCCATTTCAACCAGATGAGATGCCTCCCAAGATTAAGAAGGAGGGTGCTGGGATGGCTGGGATGGTGTGTGTGGGTGGGTGGGTGGGAGGGAACAGGGAGGCAGTCATGACCAGGAAACCAACCAAGACAGAGGAGTTGGAGGTGAGTGGAGAGGCTGAGGGTCCCGTGGGTGAAGGTGAGAAAGCATGTCAGGTGGGGACGATGACGGGTGGATGAGCTTGAGGACAGGTTACACAGCAGGGAGGGAAACTGTCACCAGGCGGAAAGGACACAGTCTCTTTCTGGCTAAGCTCCTGTCCTGGTGAACAGTAGAATGAGGGGAGACCTCAGGCAAGAGGTGGGGACGCAGGCTAGGCAGTGAAAGTGGGTGGGTGGGGTTTGAGAGGTGCTGTGAGCCCAGAGTCAGGGGGAGAGCAGTTGACAGGCCTCTCCTGCACGCTGTCACCCTTGAAGACAAGTCTTCATCCTTCCCGCAGGAACCGAATCCCAGCGCAGTGGCCGGCCCAGGCCTCAGGCCTAGCCTTTGCCCCTCCCTGGCCTGGGGTTCTCATCCAGGGCGGGACACGCACCTCCTGCTGGGTCCAGCCACCCTGGGGCCACCGGCAGTGGAGGGGGTCTGGGGGGGCGCTCCAGACCTGCCTCTCCTCCCCTCTTCGCGCCCCCTGGTCCCTCCCCTCCCCTCCCCCTCCGCTCCCCCTGGCCCTCCAGCCCCTCCCTCCTCCCCTGCCCGGTCCCAGCCCCTCCCTCCCCTCCCCCACTCGCGATCCGGGCCGCGGCGGCTGGGCCGGACCCCCCGGGCTCAGCCCGGCCCCTCGCCGAGCCACCGCCGCCGCCGCCCCGTTTGCAGAGGAGGAGGCCCCCGGCCGGGGTGCGGAGCACGGGGCATAAAACGGGCCAGCGCGGCGCCGGGGGCACTAGAGCAGCGGACCGCCGGGTCAGAGCCGCCCGCTCGCGCTCCCGGCCTCTCCCTCGCCTGGCCCGGCGCCGACTCCGCGGCCGCCCGACGAGCCCCGGCCCCGGCCCCTCCGCCGCACCGCCCCCGGCCCGGCCCTCCTCCCGCCTCCCTCCTCCCTCTCCTGCCGCCTCCTCCCCCCGCCTCCCCAGCTGTCCGGTTCGCGTCATGCCGAGCCTCCCGGCCCCGCCGGGCCCGCTGCTGCTCCTCGGGCTGCTGCTGCTCGGTCCCCGGCCGGCCCGCGGCGCCGGCCCCGAGCCGCCCGCGCTGCCCATCCGGCCCGAGAAGGAGCCGCTGCCCATTCGGGGAGCGGCAGGTAGGTGGGCGCCCGGGGAAGGTGCGGGAGGGAAGTCCGCTTGGGGAGAGTCCGTGCCCGCCCCGAGGGGGCGCGGGCGCAGGTGGTTCGGCGCGGCGGGGGGCCGGGAGGGTTGGGCGGGGGTCGGGGCGCGCGGTGCCGGGGACCCAGGGCCCGCTGGCAGCGCCCGGGGCGGGCACCGGCGGCCGCGGGACAGCGGCTGCCAGCCAACGCCGTCCCCGCAGGCTGCTCCTTCGGCGGGAAGGTCTATGCCTTGGACGAGACGTGGCACCCGGACCTGGGGGAGCCCTTTGGGGTGATGCGCTGCGTGCTGTGCGCCTGCGAGACGGTGAGTGCACCGAACGGCCCTGGCCTGGCCCCTCGCGGGCGGGGGGCCCTGGGGTCCCGGGGCGTCGGAGTGGACGCGGAGGTGGCGAGGAGAAAGGAGCGAGCCTGCGGATATTCGGGACAGTTTCCTGGCGGAGGACCGGGGCAGGAAGCGCCCCTTCCAGGCTCAGGTGTTGGCCGTTATTGATCGCCCACTATGTGCCGGGCTGTTTGCCAGCTCCATCTCATCAGTCTCTCACTAACTCCTAGCACCACCCTCCTAGATAGATGCCGTCATGAGCCCCACTTTCAGACGGGGACCCCGAGGCCCAGAGAGTGTAAGGAACTTGTCTAGGGTCCCGCAGCTTAGAGGAGCAGCGTCTGCCTCGGTGGTACCCATTGCCTTGCTCTCTGACCCCCCCCCCCCCCCCCCGCCTTCCTGGGTCTTAGGGATCGGTGCTTACAGTCAGTTGTTCTGTCTTTTCCGTGCAGCCTCCGTGGGGTCGCCGCGCGAGGGGCCCGGGCAAGGTCAGCTGCAAGAACATTAAACCCGAGTGCCCACCCCTGTCCTGCGGGCAGCCGCGCCAGCTGCCGGGCCACTGCTGCCAGACCTGCCCGCCCGGTGAGGCCCGTTCCGTGGTGAGGGGAGGGCGGCAGGGCTGCGCACTTGGTCCAGAGCCCCTCCTCCGGGGCGGATGGAGCCATGATAGCGCACGGAGCGGCCAATGGGCCCTTCCAGTGCCCCGCTGAAGCCCGCGCTCCCTGCCCTGGCGCAGAGCGCAGCGGTCCGGAGAAGCAGCCCACCGGCCTGGCCTTCGAGTATCCGCGGGACCCAGAGCACCGCAGCTACAGCGACCGCGGGGAGCCGGGCGCCGAGGACCGGGCGCGCGGGGATGGCCACACGGGTAGGCAGGGACCCAGCCAGGACCCGGGTCGCGGTTTTGGCGCGGCCGTCACAGCGGGTGAAGATATTGGGGACATCTTCCTTCTCTCCCAGACTTCGTGGCGCTGCTGACAGGGCCGAGGTCGCAGGCCGTGGCAAGGGCGCGAGTGATACTGCTGCGCTCTAGTCTGCGCTTCTCCATCTCCTACCGGCAGTGAGAACGGGCCAGGAGGGAGGAAGAGCGGGCTGGGCGCTGCGGCGGGAGAGCTGGGACAGGCTGGAGGGGCTGCTTCTGGCCCAGGCTCAGAGTCCGTGCTCCCCCGCACCCTCATTCCCAGGCTGGACCGTCCCACCCGAATCCGCTTCTCAGACTCCACTGGCAGCGTCCTGTTCGAACACCCTGCAGCTCCCACCCAAGATGGCTTGGTGAGATGATGCCATTTATGAGTGCTTATCTAGTTTGGACACTGTGCTGAGAATGTGCTCTGCATGACCTCCTTTGGTCCTCACAACAGTCCAGTGGGAGGAAGGCACTGACATCATATGCCCACTTTACAGATGAGGAAATTGAGGCTCAGAAGCAGAATGTGATTTTCGCAAGGTCACACAGCTGTAAGTGGTGGAGCCAGGATTTGGACCCCTGGATTCCTTCTTTTAAAAAAAATATTTTTTATTGATTTTAGAGAGAAAGGGAGAGGGAGAGAGAGATAGAAACATCAATGATGAGAGAGAATCATTGATTGGCTGCTTCCTGCACACCCCCTACTGGGGATAGAGCCGGCAACCTGGTCATGTGCCCTTGGCTAGAGTCGAACCTGGGACCCATCAGTCTGCAGGCCCACACTCTGTCCACTGAGCCAAACAGGCTAGGGGTGGATTCTTAAGCTTCCTAGGAGAGCATGGGGGCTCCTTCCCATATTCCTTCTTCATCAGATAGGCCTCTTCGCTGGCCTATCCTGCATACTGTTTGAGTAGGGCCTTCTTGTCTCTCTGCTCCAGGTGTGTGGGGTGTGGCGAGCAGTGCCTCGGTTGTCTCTGCGGCTCCTCAGGGCAGAACAGCTACATGTGGCACTTGTGACACCCACTCATCCTTCAGGGGAGGTCTGGGGGCCCCTCATCCGGCACCGGGCTCTGGCTGCAGGTGAGGGGAGCAACAGCCCCCGGGCATGAAGTTCTGTCTTCTCTATACCAAGGACTGGAGTGGGCTGCGGAGGGGGCTTTCTGATGGGCTCTCATGGTCCTCCCTCTCCCAGAGACCTTCAGTGCCATCCTGACCCTGGAAGGCACCCCACAACAGGGCATAGGTG